AACCTATTGAAATAAGTGAAGAGACCTTCTGATACACTACCATGCAATGTCTCTCTGAGTTATGTAGTCATCCATTCTTCAGACAAGACAGTCCAACTATTGTTACTCCCCAAATTTCTTTCCATTTAGGTTTGATCCCAGTATAGACAACTTAGTGTTCTATGTTCTGGACTTTAGTACCCATCAGCCCCAAATTTCATGAGACTTTAGGAGATTTACTTCAAAACATCTGGAAAGCAGTAACACCAGATCTTGGACTGATCTGCCTTGGCCTTCCTCATATTCCAAATTTGGCCTGTTCCTGGGGGGGGGGCTTCTTTATAGAAGAAGTTTGCTCTCTGCCAAGCACAATAACCAAACATATAAAACACTATCATAAGAGGAATTGTAGGAAATGACACGCCTACTCAAGCTGAAGAAGAGCAACTTGGCATGTGTGTTGGGATATATAAGGAAGTCACAGGAGGGTGTAAAACATTTGACAGTATTGGGGATGAAGCATTCATCACAGAACTACATTTCAGTTGAAAAAGGTCAACTGAATGTCCGCAATGATAAATCGGCAGCGGCTGAGGTGGGATCAGTACAAATATTATATTCTAGATATTGCCTTGAAGGTGTTTCAAGCAACCATTGTTGCTATGTGTAAGCGCCCACAATATGTCCTACATGACATAACATACAAGTTAAGAATAGAGAACCTTCTCACTGATAAGAATTTCATTTTTAATTTTTTTAAATAATGGCAGCGTCTGGGATGATATGTTACCATTGGAATTGAGAAGGGGGGGAGGGAAAGAGAGACCTAAAATACCCTTTTTGCTTCTTAAACCCCTCCAACCCAGGAAAAACTGAACTTATCAATTCTTGGAGGAGGTCATGGATATTTAAGAAATGGAGATTCCTTAGGCTTCAAGGTTTAGAGCACCGAATTCATTCTTGGAATATTTCCAAAGCACCAAGTCACCAACAATCTCATCCTCAAATCCTGGCCTCGTTCACTCCAGAGGTCGTTGGGCTCCACAAAATTGATACATATTGGGGGGCACTGCACACATATAGTAACTCATAGCTTGTCCCCCTCTAAACTACGTTAGAGTGTCATTTGGCTTTTTTCTTAGCATGTGGTTTCTCATCTGTGATTAGCATTCTGTGAAACTAGCCCTTTCTAATTTTTCAATAAAATGTTTAACAAGCCATGCCTTAATGCAACAATGAAAAGCATCTAGTGAGCTTTCTCCCACCCCCCAAACATGCAAATTTGTGTAGTCATCCTGTTCACAGAATTGCGAAGAACCCGATTACCCAATTTTCTTTTAATATTCTATTATTCAACACTGTCAGCCAAAACTGAAGACATAGTAAGAAGTAATCTGATCATAAAAAGGCAGCTCCGCTACTCTAGTCTGAGAATTTGTGGTCTTAGATTTGTTGTAGATGTTGAAAGAAGAATAAAAGCAAGGTTGCCTTTGGGGAATGTGTAGGGTCAGAAAAGATAAGGCAAATCTCTAAATGTACATATTAAGCCTCAGATCACCTCCAGAGGAAAGCTGGGGGTTTATACGCTCAGAAAATGTTTTGAGTAAAGTATGGGACTTATTAAGCATTTATGTATAGATTGTGAAAAGAGAGGAGAAAAATTGAAGGATAAAAAATTTCCTAACGTGTGTGGGCTTGTAGACTAGAGGTATATTTCTAATGATGATTTGAACCCCATGAGTTGGAAGCGTTTGGGAAGAACATTCTTGGTGGAGCTGAGTAGCCTGCAAAAGGCAGATTGAAACCTGGCTTGTGCTTGGATTACATCAGTGTTTCCCAAACTTGACAATTTTAAGGCATGTGGACTTCAACTCCCAGAATTCCACAGCCAGCGTTGCTGGCTGTGGAATTCTGGGAGTTGAAGTCCTCATGCCTTAAAATTGTCAAGTTTGGGAAACACTGGATTAGATGGTAAAAGCCTAGGATGCTAGTTGAATGTACAGATGCTAGATGGCACCATTTTGAAAATTAAAAATCTAACACTCCTTTGGGTGTTGAGAACAGATTATTCTAGCCTCATTCTTTTCTGAGAGTATTATTTAGTAATGAGAGTTAAATAAATTCTTTCACTGACAAACACCATTTTGTCCATTCCTTAATTTGGCTCCAACTTGCAGGTCATATTCTCTGCATGGAGAACAATCAAATCCTCAAGATGGCAATGCATACAATGCCAGGTAATGAGGCAAGGCAAAGTTACCAACTTTGACAAACTTCTGGACCAGAGAAGTCCTAGATTTTCCTGCAGAAATCAAGCTCATCTTGAAATGTCTACCTGAGATGCTGTCTTCCTCATTCCCTAAGACTGGAAGTGGATTGTGTGTACATGACAATCTTACCATTAACTGGGAAGCCCTCACAGATGATTCCTTGCTCAAACCCCTTATTTTGGATGTCACATTGCAAAATTGAAAATTGGAAGCCATATAGATTCATTATGGTTGTTTTGAGTGATTTCCCACCCCAAAAGAAACCAAAACTAACCTCTCAGAAACTGAAAGGGGTTTGGCATAGGTTAAGAAATCTGACTCAGTTGTAAAGTTCTTTGTTGTTGTGATATTGTGCATAAGGCTCTTATTTTTAACAAGGGAATCATAAACTTTAATTTCCTATTAGGCTCAGCTTTGGTCTGCACAATCTTTATCTGAAGTTGTTGGTGCCACCTGGTGATCAATATAGAGATTGAAATCATGTTGATCCTCCACATAGTTCGTGGAAAATAGAGGAAACATGGGGAGGGAGGTGAATCAAAAACATGGGTCAATATTTATCAAGACTTAGTTCAAAAGTAGAAAACTGTAGAATAAATTTAGAAATGGGGAATTGCATTATCATTATCACAGAATCACTGGGCTGGAAGGGACCATAGTGGTTTTTTTCAGACCTCATTTTAAGGAATCCAACAAGAATATGGCTTGGAACCTACATTTTGTAACAAAATTCCTTCACACCATCACAGTTTCATCAAAGTGAATTGTGGTAGCCAGGGCAGAATTCTTTCCACAACTTTGTCCTTCCCAATTACCTGTTTCCCTACAATAGGAATCTAATTTTATCTAAAGCAAGTTGTTAAGAGAGATGAAGGGAAAAAAGGGAAAAATACAATGTCTGTTAAAATGAATATGGCTAGATTAGCAGGGAAGAAATTTCAGACTAAGCTGGTGAGATGCAGAAGGAAGTTGTGCATTTTGTAGAGCTACAGTAGGAATTTCAGCTGTTGTTGCTTGAGTGGTTGGTCTCTTTGCATCTGGCTCCTTGTCCTTGCAATCACTCCTAGTATTTGATGTTAAAAGGGGGGGGGGGGGATATTGGCAGTTTATTGGGATGCTCCATCCATACTTAAGAGGCGTATGAAGTTTCATAAAAACTATTTTGACCATTCCACTATCTTTGGCGATTCCATCTTTAGAAGAAATCAAAATTCTGTGAAACAGCCTTCATTAATCCCCAGGTATGTTTGTTATACTGGACAGCGAATTCCAAGAACTGTGGCTTCTCTACACACAAGACCTCAAGCGGAGGAAGAATGCTACTAATCAAACAAAAGCTAGAGACTCCTACTTGACTCTTGCTAACTGTGTGTGTGTATGTGTGTGTGTGTGGATGTGTGTTAATGGCAACAGTGCAGAAGGGGTTTGTCATTTTCTGGAATATTTTCTGACCTCTCAGTCTAGATTTCATCCCCTAATTACCCCACAAAGCAACCTGACAACTACGAAAACTTCTCTAAATAGTTTTGGAGAGGGAGAAAAGATTACAGCAAGTGGTTTAAATCTCAGATTTCAAGAGAAAGCAAATGTAAATCGGGAAGGTGATTTCTCTGTCTGCCTGATACCAAATTGAAGCAGAGCAAAACCTTGGAAAGGTCTTTCCCTAGAGCAGGGGTAGGCAACCTTGGCTCTTTTATGACTCGTGGACTTCAACTCCCAGAATTCCTGAGCCAGCCATGCTGAGGGGAAAGGGAGAGGTTTCCAAGCTGAGCCATGCTGGCTCAGGAATTCTGGGAGTTGAAGTCCATGAGTCATAAAAGAGCCAAGGTTGCCTACCCCTGGCCTAGGCTGAGGCTGCCTAGGCCATTTACTTTCCTGAGATAGGGGCATCTGCTGTTTAGTTGGGATTTCCCCTCCTCCCCGTGCCTTCAAGTTGACTCTTAGCGGCTGCCTGAAAAAATCCCTGCACTTTTCTTAGCAAGTTTTTCAGAAGTGGTTTGTCCTTGCCTCCTTCTTAGGGTTAAGAGTGAGTGACTGGCCCAAGGTCACTCAGCTGGCTTTGTGCCTCAGGTAGGGCTAGAACTTGCCATCTCCCAGTCTCTGGCCTGGTTCTTTAACTACCAGACTAAGTTGGCTTTCCTGCTGTTTGGGATACAACATGACAAAACTGTTCAGAATTTGCAATTTCCCATGGAATAAAATCAGCCCCAAATGAAATAAAGAAGAAAATGTTTAAAGGTGTTTAGTTTTTAAAAATTTTATTTATAACAATATCTGTTTTTTATTTTTAATGTTTTGTTTTTAGTTGTAAAGTAATCTGGCAAAAATTATTAAAACATTTGGGCCCCCTTCCCAGGGAAAAAAAATGCTGAGGAGACCTCCTTCCCTCCCCCCCTACATGCGTGTAATTTCTACTATAAAAGCTAAGTTTATTTACTTCTGATCCAAGTTCATCTTTTTTTAAAAAAAAAAACAAAAAACAAAACAGGTTGGAGAGAAACGAAAGTTGAAATAACATTTGAACCTCTTTCCAGAAATAGGAATGATGGAAATTGTGGGGAGGGAGGGAGGGAGGGAGGGGGGAAGGTCAGAAAACAGGGGAAGAAATGGGACCTTTGTTGCAATTCACAATTTGTAAACTCTGCTTAGTCTTAGACACAGACACTAAAATAAAGTGAGATACAGTCAAAGTAATAATTCTCAAAAAAAAAAAAAAGAAAAATACGGTTTCTGGAAATAAAATGATTTTGGGGAAAAAAAAATAAAATTAGTGTAAAGGTGAAAAGATACAAGAAAACCAGTTTGGGTGGTGGCTGATGGGATAAGAGTAGATTTAAATCGTACTGGTAGAAAAAAAAATGATTAAGGCGTTGCAAAGAGATGATTAGACTGGCTGGGTGCTGTAAGAGAAAAGGCCATTGTTGGAAATACACAGGGGAAACTATTGGGGGGAAAAAAATTAGAATGCACTTGATGGGAAGAACATTTACACCAGTGGTTCTTTAATTCAACTCTTAGATAGCCAAGGGACCTTTTGTGGACTTTCGGGTCATCTGCGAGGACCTGATGGAATACAGAAAGAAAACGTTGAAGGGTTGGTTTGGTATTTTTTTTTTAAATGACAAATGATCAAATTAAGAGTCAGCTCCTTTTGCTCACTGATCAAATGGAACTGCTGCCCAAAGCGGGAGGAAAAGCAGGCCAGGATAAGCTATTGCCATGTCTGCGCACTGCAGAGAAATCTGTTCCTTAAGACATCCTGATATAAGGCTTCTTTGTTTAGAGGAATCACAAAATGGAGCAAGAATTTGAGGGTTCCTTGGGGGAAAATACCTTAATTTTCACAAGGGATGAGGTTCACAAACAGCACATCCACAGGTTACTGTGGGATTTTCTCCAACCCCAGTTTGTGATGGATGTGCAACTACTGACCCACTCCCCATTTTCTTCTCAAATGGATCAAGTTTGTGGAGGGAGGGAGGGAGGAAAAAAATGTTCAAGTTGACTTGCACCCTAAGAACAAATGGAAACGAGCAAATTAAAATCGTGGTTCCCCCAGTGCCCCAGAATTAAAGGATCACTGGTGTGTCTGTCATGGGTTCCTCTTGTCCAACAAATCTATATTGAGCTATTGTCAATATTGGCATCATATTGTGATCCACATTCAGTGAAACCAAGTTTCAGTGTGCATGAGAAGGAAAAAAGCTGTTCCCCTTCCCTACCAGATCTAACATGCACTTTTCAATATGGTCCATCTCTGACTTCTAGCAAGAGAAAAGTCTTCCCCAAACATCTCCCTTGATTCATCAACAGCATCCTGAGAAGGGTGGGAAACTATTGCAAAACTTTAAAAGGCTAGCAACCTAAAGCCGTCTGTAGAAGAAGCAGAAGTGGATTGATTTGTGCAGCAAGCAAAAAGATCCAGCCCTTTAATCTAAAGTGGGGTCTTCTTACAATTCTCCCTCTATTCCCTCTACATTGCCTTTACTTCAATCACCCCCGAGTCCAGTGACAGAGATTCAGTGGCTGGTAGATGAAAGGGAATATACAGGTAATAATACTGCTCACATATAAAAGTAATAATCCTTCATTTGTACATTTATACAGTATCTCTTGCTCCCTCCCCATCTGGTCTCTTTCCACCTGGTCTCTGTCGTGGGCTGATGGCCCATTCCCCCGTTCCTTATGCCAGGGGGTTGCCAAGATCATCATCTGCACCTCTTGACAGCAGCTCCCGCTTTTCATCTGTGCTGGCTAGTGAATTGCGGCTGTTGTGGGCACCCATGTAAAGTGTGGCGTACACTGGGTTTGTGAAGTTTGTGGGCTAGAGGAGAGAAAGGGGAAAAAAAGAGAGTAAGAAGATGGCTGGGAAACGGATAAGGCCAGTCTCTCTGATACTCCATCTTTTTGTTATCTCCAACACCATCACTATCTCAGAGCCTGTCGTTCCCTTCCTTCCCACCACAGTATGGCAACAAGTAGTGTGGCTTTAAAACTGCAGCACCTTTCTGTATTCATGAAGGGAACATTATTTTTTTTTCAGGCCTCTCCATCATACTTGTTAAAAAAAAAGCTTCCTCTAGTTAGTGACACTCCTACATGAAGAAGTCTGACAAAAACGGGGCAGTTTTCATGAACAGTGGAGAAGTGCTGTTATGAACATTCAGAAGCACTTATTCCAAATGCTTTCGGAAATCTGAGCATCCTTTTTATTTATCACTTTGCAGAGCTGCCCCTCTCATCAAAAAGTGACTCGAAGTGGCATACAACACTCGGTTGAAAAGGAAAACCAATCACTTATTGCTTAACAGCCATAATGCTGGAGAGATGGCATGGATCATTTCAATGAAGGTGAGACCTAAACGATCCAAAACTCAGGTTTTGGCCAAAGTTAATGGGTGTTCCACACTACATCCGGTTGCCTCCCTTCTCTGTTTTAATTTGGTCATCCAAAATACTAATTGAAAAATGTATTGCTCAAATTGTTGGGGTTTGGGGGAATAACAAAGCACATTACTAGCTGTTGTTGTTTTTTGAAGTTACTATTAAAAACACAGACCAATACTAAACCATATTGTATGATTAAGCATGAAAGTGGAAGATAATGCTACTTAAGTTTCTCCAGTTCCCTGGTGCAAGTACATCGATTGCCAGGTAGTTTAAGGCTAATATTTCTGCCCAAACATCTGCCTTTGAAAACTGCTAATAATCCAGTTCATGGTGGGCTATAAACCCAGAGCCTTAAACCCAGAGCCAGTAGATGCCAAGGCCCCCGTAGTTTTCCCAGAGATAGTCTACAGAAACACTAAATAAAACCTCCTTTTTAAATTGCAAACCTAAAATTTAACAGATTTGAAGTAGATGAGGTGAAATTATTGAAGATTTGCAAGTTTATGGCCATTTGAAAGGGGCTATCTATTTTCCAACACCCACGTCATTGTGCGAAAATTACACAATGGCATTTGATCTCTGTCCTCAAGAGCGGCCCTTTTAATCTATGAAGATCCTGGGATGGGAGGGGAACTGTTGGGTTCATGTCACAAAATGTACAATTGCAGCTATTCATTGGGGTATTAATATCAATTATGGGTAGTCCTCGACTTACAACCACAACTGAGCCCCAAATTTCTATTTGCTAAGTGAGACATTTGTTAAGTGAGCTTTGCCCCATTTAATGGACTTTCTTACCACAGTTGTTAAGTGAATCACTGCAGTTGTTAAATTAGTAACATGGCTATTAAGTGAATCTGGCTTCCCCATTAACTTTGCTTGTCAGAAAGAAGGTCACAAAAGGTGATCACGTGACACACACCCCCCCGGACACTGCAACTGTAACACGGTTGCCAACGGAATCTGGATTTTCCATTCACTTCGTTTGTCAGGTCACAAAAGATGATCATATAACCCGGGGACACTGCATCGGTCATAAAGATGAATCAGTTGCTAAGTGTCTCAGTTTTGATCATGTGACCATGGGGATGCTGCGATGGTCATCTGGAAAATGGCCATAAGTCTTTTTTTTTTTCCAGTACTGTTGTAACTTGAATGGTGACTAAATGGACTGATGTCAGTTGAGGACTACCTGTAAATTATCCTCAACATGTGTAACTACAGATTGGGTAGTGCAGCTTTTCCAGGCATTAAGTTTCTCCTATAACAATGATGGTGCACAACATCTTTGTGTAGTCTGGGGTCCTTTAATCATGTGCTCCCACTTCCTCTTCCAAACCTTATCAGGGTCCAGAGCGAAGTCGGCATCTAGCAGCTCCCCTACGTCATCTGCGTCGGGGTCCCCCTCATACATCTTGTAGGTAGGATTGCCAATCTCCACATTCATGGCTCCGTTGGTCATGCGCTGGTGCTGAAAACCTTTGGCCCTGCATGAGAGACACAACAGGATTGAAGGGGGGGGGTCAAATACCCATTGGGCAGCATCTGGCAAAGCAGTATTACCGAGTAGGACCTGAACTGCAAACGCTAGGCAGATGGGGCAGAATTATGCACTAACTTGGCGACTGCGCTCCCCAAATTTGTGTTTGTTGAGGTAGTTTAAATGCCTTGAAGGAGCATGTGTAAAAGGATAGGGTCCTTAATCTCTTCTGCATGTATTGATTTTGTTCTGAAAAATATCCTCCCCAGGGAAAAATGTTTTGTGTTTGCTGGAAATTGCTGTTTAAGGAAATGGAAATATCTCTACCTACCCAGTTTTATAAATATAGGAGACTGGAATCTTGGGTGTTATTTGTAAATTTTAGTTTGGCCCTCATAATAACTTTTATGCATATAATAAGGGAGGAGTACAATGTTGGTCAATGCAGAAGAGTTTCTGTTGCAGAGTGACTTCATTTCATGGAAGGCCACTGATTAAAAAGGAATAGCAACAGTTATTTGCAACTAAGAGAAGGATGACTTGGGATGGAGAACAGTTTGCCTTGAATGTATCTAGCCAATTGCCCTTCCCAATCTATATGGAAACCAGAAGGCACATGTATTATCTTCCCTGTTTTCCACAATTGTGTATTTTGGTTTGCAGTTAAAAATGTTCACAATAGATGTATTGGGAAAATACAGAGAAAATGGCATATTGGAGATAAATAAGTAGAAACGTAACTGGAACTTAGTAAAAAAAAATTGCACAGATTTTTTTTGGGGGGAGGGAGGGAGCTAATTTACAAATTGGTGCAGAAATGGAACAAATTAAGTTAGGACTGGGAAAATTAGAAATTAAGGAATGGCAAATAGAACAAATTTTCAATCCCTCTAAATGGCACGATCCTGAACTTGATTTAGCTGTATGACAATATAAAAATAAAATAACTTTCTGTAGACTTGATTTGTCCTTATTATGATCTCTGCCTACTGCATCTTTTATTTTAAGTTGCATTGCAGCATGGACTATCTGAATATTTCAGTGATGTTTCTTCTCTTAAGAGTTTCCCAGGACTTGTCTGAAGCCAAAGATTCATGCGCTTTGGCAGAAGATTAAGATCTAAGTATGCAAAAGAGACACCTTCTCCATCCATTTCCTCCAAGACAATCCAGATACTGTATTATGAGGCTACATATACTCTAGTACAAGATACTTCAATCCAATTTGGCACCTGAAAGGAATTATTGACCCAAGGCAAAGGTGTCATCGGTGAGACCAACGGTGCAATAGACTGGCTTATAAACACAATCAAGGCTGAACCTTTGCTGGGAAGGTTTTTGCATCTGTCTAAAAGCCGGCTTATATAAGTAAATAAATAATCCTGTATTTAAGAATAGAAAACCCAGTCTATACTATGGTAGTTATACAGGACTTCTTAGACCATCTGCATTCGTTGTTCGGGAATGCTCAGCTTACCCTTTAATCCTTTTTTTGTACCAAACCACAGCACCAGCCACTAGTACCAGGAGCAGCAGCAGCAGAATTGGAATGACAATAGACACAGTTCCTAGAAAAAATAGAGAGATGTTGGTTGCCTCTGAAACCTAGAAAACGTTCGCCCCTGCTCTGAACACATGCGCCGCTTACCTTCTATTTATATATGTCTTTTGCTATTGCTTCTTCTTTTTTTGCCAAATGATGACAGTAATGTATAACTATTTGAGAGAGTATATTCCTCTCCATTTTCAAATGAGAGACAGTATGGTGTAGTGGGAAGGACTGTGGAGACCCCCAGTTTTTCCTTCAGAAGCAAAGTGCCTTCTAAGCATGAATGTGAGCCAAGCACCTTCAATATAACTTATTCTACCATGTGATTATACGGGTGCAATAGCAGTGTGGGGGCATATGCCTTTCATTTTTACATCCTTCGTTACTGAACTTCTTCTGTCCTCTACAGAACTCCAGAATGAGAACAGTGAAAATATTATCTGTTCTCCCTATACCAGGAGTAGGCAACCTTGCCTCTTTTATGACTCGTGGACTTCAACTCCCAGAATTCCTGAGCCAGCATGTTGCCTACCCCTGCCCTAGACTATGGTTGTCTTTCGAATCATTTCAATGGCACCTTTTGCGGAGGAACCACTCTTTGCTAATGCCCGCAAAACCGGTTGACCATCCTCCTATCATCTCACCAGAGCTTGAGAGATAATCTTAATGGATTGTTCCACATGTAAATATAGTGGGAGGCAAACTCTGAGACACTGAAGCACCATGAGTCACATTGTCTGCTTGATTTGAAACCTTATCAATTTTTCCTACAAACAGATGATCTCCAATCTCCCAATATACCTTTCCAACACACACAGAAACACACACCAGTCCCTACGACAGTCATGTCTGATCTCCCCACTCTACTTACGGCTGCTTTGTTGCCCACTGTTCACAGATTTCTCGCAACGCTCCCCAGTCATTTCCAAGATACACCTGTAGAGTGAGAAGCAAAAAAACTTAAGTATGGTGGATGCAAGATAAACCCAATAAGGGAAGCTCCTTTGAGCAGGGAAGATGCTGGCAGGAGCTCTGGGCAATATTGGGGAGAAACGAACTGAGAGAAGAATAAATCAGGGCCAGTTTACCTGAATTATGTAGCTTACGTAAGTTATGTAGCACCATGGTGGCGCAGTGGTTAAAATGCAGTATTGCAGACTGACTCTGCTCACTGTCAGGAGTTAGATCCTGACTAGCTCAAGGTTTACTCGGCCTTCCATCCTTCCGAGGTCAGTAAAATAAGGACACAGACTGTTGGGGGCAATATGCTGACTCTGTAAACCACCCAGAGAGGGCTGTAAAGCGGTATATAAGTCTAAGTGCTATTGCTATTAACAACTACTGTAAATGATCTAAGGCAATAGGGCAATATTCTAAGAATATCGTTAGAATGGAAACAAAAAAGAATTGGGATGACACGGGAAGTCAACTCCCATTATCATTCTGGAAAGTGGTAGGTATTCATCTCTTTTATCCCGAGCACATAGGCGTATCTCTTCCGTCATTCCAAGTTTCCTGCCTACTCACTGGCACTCTGGCATGGAAGTTTCAGCATTCATGGTGCATGACCCTCCATTCATGCAGTAGTTGTTACAAGTCAAACAGCTGGGGGCCATCTTGCCATCAGGGCAGCTGCAAAGGTCAAAGGGAAGCGTAGTCAATGGAACCCAGATTTCCTACCCTGATTCTCAGTCTTTCAACGTTTTTAACATTTCGCAAGATGTTAGCTACTGACAGACTTTTGCCCTGGTCCCACTGTCTTAGCCATTTCTCCTCCTTCCCTCCCTTTTCTTCCCTTCCTTCTTGTACGTGGTTCGGCTATTCCCTCAAACCACTTTGACTCTCCTCGTTCCACACCCATCAGCACTTCCCAACAAATCCCACCTACTTACATGCAGGTGACATTGCCGGTCTGCTTGTTGATGGAGCATTTGCCCTTGAGACAGCGGTCACACTTGTCATGCTGGCAGCGGTCACCGTAATAATTTGTTGTGCAGCGGCACTGCTGAGTCCCAGAGGCTGTCAAATGGCACATGCCATTATTTTCACAGTAGTTTGAACAAAGGCCTGAAAGTGCAAGAGAGACGGTGGTGTAAGAGGAAAGGATTCATTCCAGATTCACAGCAGAGATTCCGCCTTAGCCTGATAGTCACAAACAATTGACTGCCAGCTCACTCGGAATATGCCATTGATTAGTTATTATTAAATGATGCTGTTATTTTAAAAAGTGCTACCCCGTTAAGGATGTGCACAGCAATTCACTCATTTGCAAAAAGAATGCTCCGGACAGCTTTGGCACGTCCCAGTCTTTCTCACCCTCTCCCCCCACAGAAGAATATGGTAGATCTCTTTCAGAACATGCCATTCCCTGAATGGTTCAATGGTTTCCAGAAATAAGTCATCTTAACTGGAAGCTGTTTCAAAGGATAATCCAGTTCCGAAAAGGCCTGACTCATCTGGAATGCCACTTAAGATCCTTCTAATTCACAGGATTTGACTTCCAAAAACCCTGGCATGGTCCAAAGAGGAAATGGAACTCTCTGAAGTTCTCTGGCATGTTTGGGTCCAACATCAATGAGTTGTGCAAATCTTTATGGTGTGCTCAAAGATCGGGAATGTGACGCAGGATTGCAAGCACACTCCAAATGTGCATATTTACTCTAGTGATAGATTAGGCACTCTATATTGAATGGAAAGTAACAGCAATTCTTGGTCAGAAATGTATATATTCTCCATTCAATTTCACCTTCGCTGTTGCTACCCACCCCAAGAAACATCCAAGGAGGCAAGGCAGGGATTTCAGCTCCAACTTCCTGCAGATCAGGGAAAAGACTGCCTGACTACACTAGTTGATCTCTCTGTACTTCCTTCCTTTGGTTAGAATTTTTTTTTGCCGGGGAGGGGGGATATTCTTGGCAGTGACTGATGGGCAGCCCTGCCCTTCGAAACCTTCAGGACATCCTCTAGGACAGTGGTTCTCAACCTTTTTAATACCGCGACCCCCCAACCGGTCGTAAGTCGAGGACTACTCAACCGGTCGTAAGCCGAGGACTACTCAACGGGTGCAGCACCATTTGCAGAATGGGACTTTTGGCGGGCTCAGCAGGGCACAGACAGCCTACTGGCTTTTGAAAGCCAATAGAATTAGACTCTATTCAAGAGAGTCTATTCTATTGGCTTTCAAAAGCTAATAGAATAAAAGGGAGTAGCACAGCTAAGGAAAAGGGGAAAAAAAATTGCAGACTGCGTTGTTTGGCGACCCCCGTGAAATGGTAGTTCGACCCCAAATGGGGTCCTGACCCACAGGTTGAGAACCACTGCTCTAGGACTTGCTTGGGAATACTTACGAAACTGGCACTTGTCACCAATGTAATTGTCTGGGCAGCGGCAATTTGGCTGATTGCCCTGGTTGACTGTACAACTGCCGTTGTTAAGGCAGTAATCCAGGCACACCGGCTTGTTGCACTGAGAACCAGTGAAGCCATTGGGGCAGCGGCACGTTGGCATTCCTGGGTGGATGGGAAGAAAGAGATGGTCAATTAAGTGTGGTTTTGATTTTGCAGAGGGCTTCCCAACAAGCAACACAAGCTTTGCAAGGCGGCATCTGAATTCTTGGAGCAAACCAAGCATTTCACCGAACGCTGACATGTTGGCTGTCAAATGTTTTCCATGGCTCAGAGTCTCCGTGCATTTCAATTGGAAAAGTAGAAGATCATTAAAAAAATTGACTCCACAGAGAAACCAGAGACATTTACAAAGAATATATCTAACTATAAGGCCTGTGGGGGGAAAGTACTGTAGTTTAAAATACAGGGAAACAATAGTAGAAAAAAAATAAACAGCAAAGTGAAGGATATGTTGGAGTCCAGTTGCATTTGTACCCAACAGAGCAGTATTATAATTTTTGTTGGTTTTGTAAGCCAGGGCTTTCTACTTTGCTTCTCCCTGTATTGATAAATTCTGGGCATGCAACTCTTCTTGTAAATTTTTACAACAACTTACCAGATAAAGAAGCAGCACAAGTGCCTCCATTCTGGCAATAGCCAGAGCACTGGTCTTGCTGGCACCTGTCCCCGGTGTAACGTGGCTGGCACCGGCACTTGGGCTGCTTCCGTGCATTGAGGAAGCAGCTGCCACCATTGAGGCAAACGAGATCACAAGTGTCAGTGGCTGGAACTGAAGAACAAAGCATGCAAAGTCATGAAAAGCGGGTCCTTCTTACTTTTTTTATTATTATTATGCGCTATTTTAACAGCAACACCAGTGCTTAACATTCTTACAAGCAGAGAATTTCCTTCTCTGAAGAGCTCAGAATCCAAATTGACTTGTGGAAAGGTAACAGAGGAAGAGGAGGGAAAGTAGCAGCAAGAAACTAATGTTTCCACTGCATGTATTTGTGTTGAGATACATGGTTTCACGGAACTGCCTAGGGCAGGGGTGTCAAACTCAATTTCACTGAGGGCCGCATCAGCATTGAGGTTGTCCTCGGGGGGCTGGGTAAGTGTGGCCAGCGTGAGCACGGCCTACTGGATGGGCGTGGCTGGAGTGGGCGTGGCCTACTGGGTGGGCATGGCCAGCTCTACATCGTTCCCGTCAAGGGTGCCTGTGGGGGCCTGGGCAGGAGTAGGACAGATCTGAGGGTCTCTGGCAGAAGGAGGTGGGACCAGGGCAAGCGCAAAGGCATGGTCCACTGGAAGAGCCTGCTGAAACCCCTCCCCTGGAGCCCATCAAACCGGATATGTGAAGTAGGCGAGGGCCATTTGCTGGCCACTTCCAGGCGATTTCTTCATTCCTCACAAAGGGTGACACCTCCCCAGTGCGTGCCCAGGGAGCGGGGCCAACGTGGCAAGGGCCAGTCCCTTGCTGTTTCCAGACGGCCTTGTGGAGCTAAGGCTGAATGCGTTTCAGCATAGATGGCCACCACAAAATTGTACATTGGCTCCCGGGCAGCCAGGGCCGGGACCAAGGCAGCAGGGGCCATTCCCTCACTGTTTCCAAAATGGCTTCATGGGCCACATGAAACGTCGCAGGCCGCATCCGGCCCCCGGGCCTTGTGTCTGACATGTCTGGCCTAGGGCTTCACAGCTAAAGGTGGATTTAGAATCCATCCTTTTCTATAACCTGCACCCCCTCGAACGCTTCTGATATATTCTTGCACCCTTTACAAAATTTTGAAATAATGAATTATGCATATACACTATAATTTGGAAACTTCTAAACCCAAGCTTTCGCACCCCTTGGAATATGGTCTCACACTCCCAAGGAGGTGCGAGCACCCCTGGTTGGGAACTCCTGATGTAACAGAAGGATTAGTTCCAAGAGTTCTGTATATACACAAGGAATGCACAATTAAGCCACACAGGTTCTGGGAACCAAAATCTGAAGAAGTTTCTCCTCATTTGTATTAAAGAAGACCCAAGATTTGGGTAGACATTACAGCTGGCAACTTCACTGAGAGCAAGTAAATATGATGAAGTTTCTGTGCCCAAAGAGGACTTCAACTTCAAAATGTATAACCCCAGCCCACGTATAAATTTTACACTGCACAGATCCTCAAGAGAAATTACTATTTTTATTTTTAACGACATAACTAATCTGTGGCCAGCTACAGATCAACGGAATAATGCAAGAGTCTACAAGGAATTCTCAGCAGCATTCCTCTACAGACTACAGGATAAGTGGTCAATGTTCAGGATAGGATCCATGGTACAATGGTGGGGTGGAAAGTCTCAAGTTCAATGCCTGGAATATATTAGGAAGCAGGAAATATGGAGACCTTATCTGCTTGAAGCCTTAGAAAACTGAATAGAGCAGAAGACTGAAATATCTCCCTATGTTTACATGGTCAACCCTGCAATAGGTAGTTCTGAATATTCTCCCAGTTTTTTAGATTCTTCACATGCACAGGAAACTTCTCAGTAAAGGTCCCTATTCCATGGGCTACGTGGCATATGTAGAACTTGCTTAATTTGTATCTCCTTGCTCTTAGATAGAAGCACAAAGACATTGATTCTCCTATCATGTGACTGGCAACTAATGAGTTGGGGGTTGCAAGACTGTAAAGTAACCTGAACAGTTTCTCTTGCTTATGTATGTGAATATTGTACTGCTCTTCCTGATCAGAGTAAAAACATAACATTACTTGCTCCACAAGAGATAAAAGAATGCAAGGGGAAGTCAGAAACTGAGTAGGAAAGAAGCTCACTGTTCTCCTGGGACCTGAAATAGCTCTCTATACCAGTGTTTCTCAACCTTGACAATTTTAAGGCATGTGGACTTCAACTCCCAGAATTCCACAGCCAGCATTGCTGGCTGTGGAATTCTGGGAGTTGAAGTCCACATACCTTAAAATTGTCAAGGTTGAGAAACACTGCTCTATACCCTTGTGGCACATAGATTTGCGTTGAGGCTTACTTTTCCTAAGAAATATCAGCCCACCAGGCAAGAAAAACATAGGACAGTCTAGTCCGCACTGTTGTACTTGCTATTAATTTCAGAAGTAGCAAAAAGAACATTAAGGCAGGAGGATGTAACTACTTGTAAGCCTCAACTGCAGTTTTGTAGTACTTTTAACGACGCCACTGAAATCTGTTGATTTCCTGCCAAAAGCCACTTGTCCAGCGTTCTTCCATTATTTATGTAAAAAGGCAGAACAAAATTACTGTTAAGCATTAAAACAGGCTTAAAATATTTTGTGCTCCTCCTCCTCCTCCCCAACTCTTCCCGTTTGCATGGTGCATCCTGCCCTCTTTTCATCATGTAACTGAGCTCTCCTTTGGAAACAAAGAAAAAGCTATGGTTCCTGATCTGCCTGTCTTGGGTTAGGTCAGGGGTAGGCAACCTTGGCTCTTTTATGACTCGTGGACTTCAACTCCCAGAATTCCTGAGCCAGCATGGCTCAGCTTGGAAACCTCTCCCTTTCCCCTCAGAATGGCTGGCTCAGGAATTCTGGGAGTTGAAGTCCACGAGTCATAAAAGAGCCAAGGTTGCTTACCCCTGGGTTAGGTCGAGCACAACATTTTCTTATTATCTTTCTGGGGGGGGGGGAGGGAAACCACCCTTAACTGGAAAAAGCCACTGAGTCTGGATAGTCTGCATACAAAGCGTGAGCTTTATGAGTAAAATGCAAAGTTGGTATATTTTCCACACTGCCATTATTTTCACTTCTTCGACCCTGTGAATAAACCACGCAAAATTTATCTGGGTGGCTTCTCACAACCACCAACTTCAACTGGTGAAGGAACGCTGGAGCCGATTCCATTGCCCAATAAAGAAACCCAAACTATGGTACCCTTCGTGTTAAAAGTATTCGTCTTGCAGGTCTTGTCAGAGGCTGACTGAGAAGGACCAATGCTGAGCCACTAAAAGGCCACGAAGTTCAAGCCTAAAGGACACAGTTACAGAGAGCAGAGAAGGGAAGATAGACCTACCAACAGGCGGAACAGTAGGTGAAGGAGCAAGTACACATATGCCGTTGTCCAACCTCCTGCCATTGGGGCAGGTGCACACAGGACCACTTGGGCTTAGGAGGCAGAGCCATTCACACTTCTTCCTGTCACATGGGTTGGTCACTGGAGAGGAAAGACAGCAAATGTAAAAGTTCAGCGAAGGCCTCAGGTAAAACTTTCTCTGTCGCTTTGGACTTTCAAAAGGGTGGGAAAAAGAACCCCAGGAAGTAGAGTTGATTTTCAAGCTTTTGGACTGCCTTGTTTTCATTTGGTTTCTGAAGACTCTTTTTACAATCTAGCTTGTGTTTTCCTGGCTCAGAGCCCATGCAATTCTTGGTGATCCGCTAGACCAGGGGTAGGCAACTTCGGCTCTTTTATGACTCATGGACTTCAATTCCCAGAATTCCTGAGCCAACATGGCTCAGCTTGGAAACCTCTCCCTTTCCTCTCAGCATGGCTGGCTCAGGAATTCTGGGAGTTGAAGTCCACGAGTCATAAAAGAGCCCAGGTTGCCTACCCCTGCGCTAGACTAATATATCTGCTTATTATCATCCTGAAAATGCACACTCTCTCCAGTTTAGCCAATAATGTGCCTAGATTAATGCAAAAATTTAGAGAAAGCTAATTCCACACAGATGAAATCTTCTGAGTGGAAAATGTAAATAGGAATGAATGCACATAACCAAAATCAATGGATCATCTAGCCAACGTTTCTGACGTTTCAGCCATTATATAGAACCTTTCCTATTCCAGCTAATGTACTTCCAGAATTTTATAAACAATTCCAGAATGCACAAATGGCTGCATTCCAAGGGACGACAGAAACTTTATGCGGAAAAAACTGAATGTTCCCTTGCCCCATTTTGCACAAGTCTTATTTTATTCTTATGGCTATTTAATCTGTTACAAAAAAACCCAGGAAAGTAATGCATCCAACTCCCTGAGGGCTTCCTTAACTCATCTGTGCTGAAGGTATTTTAAATACCTGAAAAAAAGTTCAATAACTCCACTCTCCAACAAACCAAACCCGAATGATGGACAGGCTGTAATTTAGAATCCAAACTATAATTTGAGCCTCCGATATACAGGCAAAAATCTCCATGTTTTGTTGCAGTTTCTTGCCTTTCGTCACTTTTTTTCCCCTACGCTGCAGGGACCTCTAGAGGTAAATCTATGACAGTAATCAGCTCTGTCAATACAGACACTGAATCCAACCTAGATATCACGGCCTTGGCATCTACTTTGCAGATGGTCAAATTATGAAATCATGGCAACCCCACCCCAACACATATAGCCTTACCCATGGTTGGTACTAATTTCTTTTTTTCCTAACTGATGGTATTTATGGCGAAATATCTTAAATACCTCACTTATTTTTTTCTTTTATGCCTTTCTTAAAACTGCACTTAACCCATATGTCAATTTTGTTCTTAAAAATGAACCTAGTATTCCAACTGACATTCCAGCTTTGCCCAATCTGGCGCCTTCCATATGTAGCACATTAAAACTCTGAGAAAGTCAGAATGGCTTTTTTTTTTTTTTGCCACAGGTTCTGCACTTGGCTGCCCACACGATATAATACTAAAAGCTATGTGTGTGGTGCTCCGTGAAGTGAAACTGACCATCTGGCTGTTTATACTGGTGGTAGAGTACCACATCGGTGGCATGGTTTAGTCCAGCTGTAAGATTGGTCACCGTGCCATGGCCAAACTTGTTGATCTTGAAGATGCGATTGTTGATGTAAGTGACACCATAAATGTAGTCTTCAAAAATGTCAATGCTGAAGGGATGGCTGAGTCCTAGAGGAAAAAAAGCATGAAAGAAGAGTAAGAGTCTGTTTGGACAATTCTGTTTGTTGTCATGTCTGGGTGAGCTAAATATCTGTCCCTAAAACCAAGATAGGGAAAGAACAACAATCTATTGATTGCCACCATGAAGAGAAAAAGAAATGTCCTATCTTGTATTAGTTGCAGTGAAAAATACTCTAGATCAGACATGTCAAATTCGCGACGTCACGTGACGTCGCACAATGTATTGGAGCTTTTTCCCCATTGCCGGCAATGGGGTGGGCGCGGTTTTGTTGTGATGCGTCCGCCCCGCGGGCTGGCAGTGTGACACCTCTGCTCTAGATTGTCTAAAAGAAGAACACATTCAACCGATAACAACTTCTTAAGACTGCAAGGAGGAGGCAATGTTCTATAATTCCAATTGCACTTCTGGAACAAAAATACTTCTTTAAAAAAAAGAGAGAGGGATGTAGCATTGCTAGTTTGGATTGATTTAGTTGATTTATCTTGCCCGTTTGATTTAAAAACAATAATTGCATTATCATTTTTAACAACAAGAAAAAGAGATACTAGATACATGGCCTAGGAGAGAGAAGAAGAAGGTCTTAACGATGTTCACCAGGAGTATATCATCACCTCTGTTTCATATATATGCACACAGGTATGCATAGATATACAAAGCACAGGCATGCCAGATTCATTTACAGCTCCCCCCCCGCCCCGTTTTTACCTTTCTTGCTGTCAATGGCCACCACTGGGTCAGTGCCATTGAGCCTGATGCTGCCAATGACCGAGAGCTTGGCATCTGCCCAATACAGGCGCTCGTTGTGATAATCAACAGCCAGACCTGCAAGTGAACCACAAATGTGGATTACAAGACTTTTCAAAAGTCCTGAAAGTCAAGTCTGTTCCCGCTATCCCCAGCTTAGATGAGAAAACTGGGCTCCTCAAGCACAGCACAGATTATCCTCTTAACTCACCAGTAGGCCACTGGATATTGTCCTGGACAAGGGTCTCTCTCAGGGTCCCATCCATTGCAGCCGTTTCAATTTTAGGGTGGTTCCCCCAGTCTGACCAATACATGACGCTATAAAGAGAAAGGCCTTCCGTGAGATCATTCTACAGGGACAGGGCAAGTTGGAAGGAGTACTGGGGCCCCTCTTACCCTCGAAGTGGGTCCACTACGATTGCATGTGGCTCGTCAATCATGCCGGAGATCAGGGTCTTGCGATTCTCTCCCTTCATCTGTGCTACTTCGATGACGTCACGCCCCGAGTCTGTCCAATAGATGTTCCCAGCCACCCAATCCACAGCAATGCCCCGTGGCATCTTTAACCCTGAAATCTGAAAAGAGAAAGCAGGAAGCAAAATGAGCCTTGAGGCCTTTTTCTAAATCATTTAGCTTTGGGAGCTCCTCCGTCATGTCTTCCTTCTGAATTTCTGCCACTTACATTGAGATGGGTGACACCGCCGTCAATCTGCCGTCGGTTTCGATTGGGGGCACTAGAACCGGCTGAGGACGGGAGATCTCGACAGGATATGCGCCCCGTGTGCCAGTTAGTCCAGTATATCTTGTTGCCCTTGACGTAGACATCCATGGCAGCAATCCGGACAGTCTCATCGCCTTGGAAGGCAGGTTCATAGGCCGAGTTTGGGTTGAAGGGATACATGCTGCGAATCTTGTTGTCATCGGCAATGTAAAGTATCTGATACTCAGAACCTTAAAAGGAATAGAACCATTACACTGATTTTTAGGAACCCCACATTAAAAAATGAGTGAATCTTCCCACAGAGAGATGAACAAGACAGAAGAGGGGAAGGCACCATTTTCAGGAAAAAGGAAGCAAACGTGACCGCTCTCATTCTCATAATGAACTTTAACCTGAGAGATAATGATATATGTTTCCACACCTCAGGAAAGCAGTCTAAATGCTCGCAGGCATGTAGTTCTCCTTGCCATCTAACAACGCAAATTTTTATAGGCTTTCCATAATAATTATTTGGTCATGTGTCTCTCTTTGATGCTGGTCTACCGCAAAACTGTGAAAATACGTATGTGCTGTATAGTACATCCCAATATGAAAAAGAAAATTAAATTCCTTGGCAAATGTAGGTCCCCAAAGCACAGCAGGGCGTTAAATAGGCTCTTTGTTCCCTCACAGAGAGCAATATACAAACTTTCTTCAGGACTGCCCAGGAGCTTATAGAGAACCTGACTCACTAGGCCCCATAATGAGAAAATGGAGTTCTGCAATCAGCCAAGTGCTTTAATATTGCAGTCACCTTACTTTAGTTTCATCCTCAGCTCTGCTTCAGCTTTACCTCTCATTTTGCTCGGATCAACTATAAGGCAGACTGTAATTTGTTTTTGTTTTTCTTTCTTAGAAGCAGCTAAAGAGAATTTGGCTGCAAAGGCCAGAGTTCTCTGCTCTTGAATGGTAATGCTCCACAGTATGAGTCATGGCACTCAATACTTTATCATATATGCCAATTAAAAATGGGGATTAAACAGTATTCGGCCATTGATCCTGCTAGGAGCAAATCTAACTGTTTTGTTGCCAGTAGGACAAAAGTTAATAGCAACAAAGTTCAGCTAGCTTATGTTCTTCCAGAAAGAAATTCAGGGAAGCAACTTCTAGAATACCAGGACCAACATAGCTCAGAGGAAAGAGTATCAAGCTGAGAAGAAAGGTTTTGAAATGTTGGCCAACGATTTTCTCTTTGATCTTCCCTTAATTTTTATAAGAGCCACCATGATTACAGCAGCACCCTACTCTTTCCATACAAAAGGCTTCTATCTAGGGCAGGGGTCCCCAACCCCCAGCCTGTGGACCAGTACCGGGCCCCGGCAGGCCAGCAACTGGTTTGCACAAACAAGCAAAGCCCCATCAGCGAGATGCAGGCAGCACACAAAACCGCGCCCCCTCCGGTCTGCGGAAAAACCACTCTCCACGGAACCGGTCCCTGGTACCCAAAAGATTGGAGACCTTTGATCTAGGGTGTTTTCTACCACGACACAACTGAGCTTTGCGGTGATTCCAGGAACCACTAGAAAATGGCAGAAGCCTCTGTGAAAACAATCTTGCACTGCTCTAAGAGTGCTGGCTTTTAAAAGGCTACATTAAACTGGAAAAGATCCCTTGACATCTCTTTTTTAAAAAGCAGAATCAATTTCACTATTAATATTTCTGGGTTTATTTTTTTTACGTTCAGAAAAACACGCAGAAATGGATAGGCAAATGAAGTAATCCTATAGCGATCTGTTCAAATCTCATTAAGCCCCACCATCAACTGATCTCTCCGATACACACCAGGGACGCCGCACTGCATATTAAATAAAGCTCCCCACATAATGCCATTTCCGGTACCTTCAGCCTTGCACATATGATGAGTCTTCTGGAAGTTCTTGGCACAAGTGCACATGTAGGAGCCTTTGGTGTTGTTGCAGAGATGACTGCAAACCCTGAAGTTCAGGCATTCGTTAATGTCTGCGTAGAACAAGGAAGACATGAAAGCCAAGATCGCCGAATGCAAATCACGAGATTTTTTTTTTCTGCCATAAAAGTCAGGAGTAACAGAACAATAAGTAGAAAACCTCCAATGTCCCCTCCAACTTCTGTTGTTCTGTATTCTAAAGGTGGGAACCTCTGCAGGGCACATGAGAACTTGGTTCTACCAACATTATTTATAGCTCATACAGTTCATACAGTTCCTATTGGCCAGGGAGCTCACTGTAATGTATGGTATGAATCAAATGCCATCATATAACTCATTAGACTGGAGGGATGTTCCTGTGAATAATGCTGCCCATTCCAAATGGAAATGTGATGGCTACCAACTGTACGTGTATAAAAATCAAAGGGAATAAGCTTGGCTTTGTGGGTACAATGAAAACTTGGGAAGAAGAGTTAAAATACTCATGAAAGAGATTTGGGGATATGAGCACAACTCATGAAGTCAAGAGCCATTCTGGCATATTTTCTGCCAAGGAACTAGTAAAATTCCTCCCAAGAAATGTATGCTCATGCACGCATGCAACCATAATATCAGAACAAAAAACTCAGTTTAGGAATGTCTAAGAAAGTGCAGCTGGCTAGCTTCTAGCCTTGGATTATTCCTAGAAAAATAGTCTTTCCTCCTTATGTCTTCTTTCCTCTCTCCTTATCTGTAGATGGATTGTGAGCTTGCAAACAAGATGCAAGCCATTCAATACCATTCTGTGCAAGCACCACCAAACAAAAAATAAAGCATTCCAGTTAAAAGAACAGATCTTTCCATGGTTACCGTTGTTTTGATTTATCATCATCATCATCACTAAAAAAAGGAGAAGCTGGAGAAGTTTAGAATCCCCAAATGACTTCGTTCCTTCCCTGTGCTCCATCTCACTGCCAATCAGCTGTTAATTTAGCACTAAGGAGTAGATTGCAAAAATTGATTTTTCCTGCAGTTCCTATCATTAGCAGAGGGTGGGGGGGGGAAGGATTAATGTAAAGTTTTAGAGGAAAGCTCAAATTATAGTTGAAGCACATCTGGCAAGCAGTGAATACCACTGGCTGATGAGGATGCTTATCAGTCTAGTGCTATTGGTAGACTTTCCCATGCCTTGCATCAGCCACATGGAGTCCAATTAGGGACTCTATAATCCTGTGGCAGCTGCTCCCCTTATTTTGTTTCCTTAATACAAAGATTCCAGCCTTTAGTCCTTGAAGACTGCCAGAGCTGGAAACAATTTTAAAAAGCAATAATGCAACACACACACACACACCATGAACAAAGATTCAAACAACTTGAAATCAAAATCAACAGCACAAAAGGACAATCAGCACTAGTTTCAAGAATTTGAGAAGGAAGGTGTTTCTCCTTCCTAAGTGACTTCTGTACTGTTCCCACCCATTTGCTCCTCTCTCTTCCTCCCTCTCTCTCCCTCTCCCCCCTCTCTCCCCCCCCCATGAAATATATAGAGGTGATGACTTCCCCTTGCTCTTTGCAAGGGAAGAGCAGATGCACAGACCATAACACCAACAAGGTGGAGAGGTTAGAGATATTGTCGATAGATCCCCCTCCATAGCGGGTGCCTAAAGATGGAAACTCCTGTTGCTGCATGTCAAGAACAACAAAAAGACCTGCTTAAATAGAAACATTTTTCACCAGCCTTAATTCACTAAGTGCTATCAGACACAATGGCTTCTAAGCAACCCCTTGCGGAAGATGACCCAGCATATGCTCAGGTGCTGTTTCCAGTAGTCTTCCTACAGAGTAGCAATGAACACGGAACAGAGTATAAAAATTCTAAAGAAATATAAATGTGGAATCTAGGTAGGATAGAATAAAAGAGAACAAAAGGTGGAACAGGAGGCAGGTGAATAGAGCAAAAATATAAATACAAAATATAACTACTAATATAACTGTCTGTTATATCTCCACACAAATCACTGCTCCAGTCTTGTCTCTTTTTTACCTCAGGAAACCTAGGACTGTGGCTCATGCAGAAACACAGGGGGAACTCCTTAAAGACCGTTCTAGAGGGACCTACCCAAACTTAATTGATTCCAAAAACCCAGAACAGGTTGCACTCAAGTAGTTCCTTTCCCTCATGGATTACAAAAGGCCTTCTTTCGTATTGACAAAAGGTGACACAGATTTCCTGAATGCATTGATGTTGCTACAGCCAGACAGCCAAAACATTTTAGATTTTGTTTTTAACAAATGCATATAATGCTAGGCTGATTTCCTACATTTTTGTTTGAAATGGACCAAGCTCTGTTAGAGACTTAAAAAAGGAGCAGGGAGTTTTGTAAAAATACCTTTTTTTTTAACACAATTAATATATTTATAGCATCCAATGGACACAATTGGTCTCATACCTTGGCAGAAATTCTTGCCTGGCACTTTCTGAAAGCCACTGCGGCAGGTGCAGTAAACAGATGAGGGGGTTTGGATACATTTGGCTTCATCGCCACACATGGTTACATTGGTGTGACAGCCATACGTCTTGGGATCTGCAAGCACAAAATGGGAAATGAGCAAATGTTACGTCAGCGGCACCAACAAGAGAGATAGGACAACAGCTGAGGGTGTGAGCATGTAATCGGTCAAACCACTTGGAGTTTCATCATACCATACTGACAATTCTCCTTCTGTGCTCCAAGCTATCCCTCTCTCCCACCTCTGCTACCCAAGATTATCCACATTCGATGATTTGTCCCCTCACCCTGCAAGCAATTGTCCTCGTCAGACCCATCTCCACAGTCGTCGAAAAAGTTGCAGCGATGCTCAGCGCTGATACATTTCCCATTTGTGCACAGGAACTCATTCTTCTCGTGGCTGCAGCTCCTAGGCCTGGTGGTTGGTGAATCTGTGATTAAAATGATGCCAGTGAGAAGCTGAAGAAATGCATTACAATGCCACAATTCGGTCTCTTTCGTTTCCTTGTCTTCCCTTCCAAAGAATCATAAATCTAGTCTGCATCTCCACAGAGGCGACTGGATTTTTCTATCACCTCAGGTGGCAAAACAAGTAAATACATCCACTGTGAATGCTGTTTATCTCCACACAAGTCACCGCTCCAATCTTGTCCCTTTTTCTCAGGATGCTTAGGGCCGTGACTCATGCAGAAACACAGGGGGAACTCCTTGATATGAAGACCATTCTAGAGCAGGGGTCCTCAACCTTGGCAACTTTAAGACTTGTGGATTTCAACTCTCCGAATTCCTCAGCAAAGCAAAGCTGGCTGAGGAATTCTGAGAGTTGAAGTCCACAAGTCTGAAAGTTGCCAAGGTTGAGGAACCCTGTTCTAAAGCAACCTTCCCAAATTTGATTGATTCCAAAAAAGCTAAGCAGATCAGACTTGGATGCATCTGGAATTACTCAGGCTATAACTGATAATATCTCAGAGTGAGGTAATGGCGCACCACTGCCATTGCCAGGGCTATAGTTGGTAATATCTATTGTCAGGGCTGTAGATGGTAATATTCCAGTATGAGGTAATGGCAAACTATATGTAATCCTTGATTTAGGACTGTAATGGAACCTGCTCATTATGGCTGTCAGTTGTGACGGTTGTAAAAATGGGCACTGATCTGATTTTATTACCATTTTTTATGGTGGTCATTAAGCAACCACTGTAATCATTAAGTGAACCCAGAGCTTGTTATGGCTTGATTTTGCTGAAAACCAAAAATAAATGTTAAAATTTTGGCAAAACGCAGTCACAAGATTGTAGGATGGTGCAAATGGCAGTAAATGTGGGCCAGTTACGGAGTGCCTGATGAGCAGTCATGTGACTGCAGGGGTGGATATTGGAACTTTGGAATTGGGTTGTAAGTACCCCTCAGGAAGGTCTGTTGTAACTCTGAAGAGTCATTAAGCGACAGTTCATAAGTTGAGGAGAACCTGCATTTCAGGATTGCTGCCAAGTTTATTTATTCAGAAACTTGAGTTTGCTTTGACAAGAGCCTTTGTTTTAACTTAGGAGTAAATAGTTAGAAGTTTAGGGATAATTCTAACGCAGGAAAATACCCAAACAGTCTGGGAAACCTTGCTTTAGCTACTCTACCGCAGTGTTTCCCAAACTTGACAATTTTAAGGCATGTGGACTTCAACGTTGCTGGCTGTGGAATTCTGGGAGTTGAAGTCCACATGCCTTAAAATTGTCAAGTTTGGGAAACACTGCTCTACCGTTATTGGCTTCTTTCTGACAGTTACACAACAGGATTAGTACAAATGACCCAAGATTGTAGTTTATTCGTATTACTTGTGGGGAAGAGTTTGCCGTGCTTCTGCAAATCTTAGGAGTTAGCAGAAAACACTCACCACAGAACTGCTCATCAGTGCCATCGCCACAGTTGTCGATGCCATCACACTGGCGGCCAATCCACAGACACACGCGATCGTTCTTGCAACGGAATGGCCTGTTGGGAGGGCACTGGAATTTCACTGCATTAGAAAACAGGAGCAAAGAGAAAGAGTAAAAAAGGTGAACCAGAATGATTTGGATTTTCCGGAGCCATAATTTCCCATTCGTTCATTCCACTGTGGAAAATACAAATAGGCAGGCCTCTATAGGATTCTGGACCCTGTCTATTTCTTTTCCCCCTGGCCTTTCACCCTCCGGTTGAGAGAATGGGGGAGTATAGCAGTAGTTTCTGGCTGTGTTGGAAGCCCACTTTTTACACCTCTGACTTCTGGAAGACTACGGTCAACCTCTCAGCTCAGCTGCCTTCTTTGAATGGTAAACTGTGGAAGACATGAGACCGTTTCACCTGACAAGTAAAGAGGTGACTGCCTTCCTATATGGATCTACCCAGCTCTGCCTTGAATGTGCTGTGGTTAGCAGCTTTCCCAAGCCTCCCTGAAGGTCTTTTCTACCTCTAGGAATTCAAGGTGGTTTATCAAATTCTCTCTTCTCTTTCCCCGCAGCCCCTCCTTCCAATAACGCATGTCCCTGCAAGAACGGTTTAAGAGCAGGTAACTTCAGATCAGCCTGTGGCTTTGGTGGATGATTGGGGATTCGAACATAAGGGATGTAAAGAATTGTCACCAGAAATTAATTGGACTTTGCACCATGGGGGGGACTTCAGCATTGGTAGAGTTGACCTTTCAAATAAACAGTGTTAGGACAATTTACATTTTTATTTAGAAAAATTCTTCGGCCATTTTTACTGGATGCAAATTACAAGAAATATACACTTGTATATTTTGAGACTTGTAAATATAAAACTGTTATGAAACATTCTTCACGTTGTTGTTGTTGTTTTGACCTGTAGGAAAAAATGGTAACCTAAACTCTGACCTAATAATGTAGGCAGTTTAACCAACAGGAGTTTTAATATTTGCATATCTGTAGTGAACAAACAACTCACAAGTTTTGGTTTTATATTCTAATCCCTGCAATATTTTGTCTTGGCTTGACTTGTTTCTCAATGTACCAACAACTTTGTGGCTGATGTAGAACAATGTTTTTTTCAGATTCTGCATCTTTAAAGAAACCCTCTTTCATGAGATCAAGGGACCCGGGTGAAATTCCTCCAATTTCATCCTGTGTGAATCAGAACTGCTTCATTTTCGAAGTGACAATCTTGTAAGCTTTCCTTATACTGGATACAGTATAGAGTCAGCTATCAGCTCCTCCCAGAATATGGCACAAAACCCATTGCTTCTTTCCCAAAGTCACTCTGGAATTCCTGGGAACCTCAACTCCCGAGAGTAGGATGTTCCCAAATGGAAGCGTGGTGATAATCTGAGAGAAGGAGGCATTGATTTTGGTTTGTATAATTGCCAAAGCCCATGTTCTGGGTATCCCTAGTTCCCTCTGAACCTCCTAGCCAATCAGCTGAAAAGAGAAAATGATGATCAAGAGAAGCAGGAGTTAATCACAGAAGCAAGGATACTCACAGCATTCTTCGGGATTTTCATCAGAATTATCACCACAGTCATCTTCACCATCACATTTCCAGGCCAGTGGCTTGCACAGAGTGTTGTTACACTGGAACTCATCAAGAGGGCAAGTCCGCACTATAAAGAAGCCACAAAAGCATGGAAGCTGCAACCTGATTCTTGAGCATTGCATATCCCACCTAAGTTGTGAGTAGTATCAAAGGATGTAAAAAGGCAGTGACAAGTTCCACAACCAGGAATTCACACATACTACCAGATCCAGCACAGTATTATGTCTGGCATCCTTGCCTGGCTGAAAGGGCCTCGGTATCCTAACAGGGATCCTTGTTGGTACATGGCCTGCTCTCCACTTACACCAGTGTTTCTTAATCTCAGCAGATTCAAGATAGTATGAACTTCTATCTTGCTCTATGGAGTAGGGAGTTGGTCTCTGACAGAAGGCCACCTGGAGAGACTAGAAACATTTGAAATGTGGATTTACAGGCAGCTGTTACATATAAGCTGGGCTGACAAGATCAGAAATGAGGAGGTGATAAGCCACCTGGGAAAGCCAAGGGAAAACAATTAAAAAACAAAAATTAGAATATTTCGAACATGTGATGCGACACCGAGAAAAATACGGCATACTCCATTTAATCCTCCAGGGAAAGATTGAAGGCAAAGGAGGTCCAGGCAGAAGAAGAACATCGTGGCTTCAAAAGCTAAGGGACTGGTTTGGACAAAATTCAGCAGCACTTTTTCATGTGGCTGCTGATAAAAACAGGATCGCCAACATGATCGCCAACGTCCGATAACGGATATGGCACAAGAAGAAGAAGATGAACTTCAACTCTCAGAATTACCTAGTCAGCATATCATATGGTCAAGGGCTGTTTAAAGACTTTGCCCCATAGATGAAAAACTGAGATCTGGGTACTTGGATCTGACATCTAGTTTTGGAATAGAATTCTCATCCATTCTTACAAGGGAAAAAAATTATGGTTGCCTTTACCTCTCGTGCCACAGTCTTCCTCATCACTGCCATCCATGCAATCGGCATCAGCATCACAGCGCCATCGCAGTGGGATGCAGTGGCCACTCTTGCAGTGGAATTGGTCTTGTTCACAGCGTGGCTTGCATTCTTTCTGTGGAGGAACAAGGTTTGCAGGCCTTTCAGGTCAGAGAGCAGAGATCTGGAGCCGTTTTGTATCACGTAAGGTTATTACTCTATCCCAGGGGTAGGCAACCGTGGCTCTTTTATGACTCGTGGACTTCAACTCCCAGAATTCCTGAGCCAGCACAGCTGTGCTGGCTCAGGAATTCTGGGAGTTGAAGTCCACGAGTCATAAAAGAGCCACGGTTGCCTACCCCTGCTCTATCCGGATCTATAATGCTTTCCTAAGCAGCAGAGGCTGTTGAGTCTTAACATCCTAATAATTGCAATAGGACTTTCAGAATGTAACAAATTGCTTTACGGAATTACACAGGAAGGGAACAAAGAATGCAAAATGAAGTGGATGTCATATAAAAATCAAAGTATGATTTTTTTCCCCCTTAGAACCAGCATTAGATAAAAACATTCATCTAATTTCTCAATTCCATCAAAGCTTTCTGATGGGTTTTCCCCAACAGTTACTTATTCTGTTATTCAGTAATTCATGTTTACACTTCCAGGTTTTTTTCCCCTAATATGCACGCCAAACTGGCCCATGTTTTTTCATCTACAAAAACTCCTTGAAAGCAATATTTTCTTAAGCTCAGGCTATGCTGATCCCAGCACACAAGTACAATTCTATTTACTCGTAACGAGACCATTTTCCCCAAGTAGATGTTAATTAGATATGAAAGCTACAATTTCCATAAACATTTGATCCATGTCTACAAAGACTATAGATCAGCAGCTGTGCCCGCTGGACCACCCGCCACCTCCATGGCCCGCCACAGATCACCCAGGCAGCCCAGCAGCACCATGGTGGCCATGTCCTCCACCCGTACCCTGCAGCATTATCTGCGCGCAATGGGCTGCAAGGGCGGAGTCTTGCCCCTGCTACCCGGCTACCATGTCCTTGGCTGCGCAGCATTGTGTGGGCCGTGCCCAGGGGCGACTCTCCTCCGGAGAGCTGCTGGTGAGGAGGGGGCCGCAGGAGGAGGCGGGGCTGGGGCGATGGTGCGTGTGCCCACAGAGAGGGCTCCGAGTGCCACCTCTGGCACGCGTGCCATAGGTTCGCCACCACTGCTATAGATATAGAAGTTATACTCAAAACACTTTTGGACAGCTTCAAGAGGGTGAGGGCTACTCTAAGAATTCAAGCCAAAGAGCAGAAGCTAGTTGTGAAAGCTGCTGCATGTTCATCATATCTTCTTTCTTGGCACTTTCCACACTTGGACCTTACCTCATCAGAGCCATCAGCACAATCATGGTCCCCATCACACTTCCAACGGCCTGCAATGCAACGGCCATTGGCGCAAGAGAACTCACTTTCAGAGCAAGCCCTGGGCTCTGTAAGCAGAGAAAGCAGAGAGAAACATGAGTTGGAAAGCTTGAACACATATATAAGGAGTTGTGGCTACTCTATAATTCACAGATTAACACCACTGCTTATTTTCAGCATAATTTCACAGAGTAGGCGTAATTGATTATTGTAACATAGCAAATTCTTTAAGTTTGACTAGAAACAGAACAGAGGAAAAGCCAAAAGAAAACTTAGGGTGGGAGTAAAGAGAGAGATAGCAGGACAATGGTTTCTGAGTGTGTTATCAACCATATTACCCACAACAGTCACCTTGGGGCAAGATAGGTGGCAAACAAATTTAATAAATAAATAAATAAAACAGCAGCTTCTGCCACACTAACAATCTCAGCTCAACTTTCTCAACGTGAACTTTGGCCTGTTCACCTGATGGCTGAAGAGCTTGCATACCACACCATATTCATTAAATTTCTTAGTCTCTGCTCCTGGTAACAATTAGGGGAGTAAGTCTTGTTTTTAAATAGAGATCCATAAAGGAGAACCTTATGCAGGATAGGGAACATACTTAAAAGTCCTGAAGTCACAATCCTTTCCCGTAATATCTATACCTGCCTTTATCCTACTTTTGTTTTAACTGCCTAACTCTGAGAAAGTAAGATTGTTTTATTATTTGTTATACAACTGAGAACAAGAGACACTTATGAAACTACTATAAATCATCCAGAGTTCTACCAGAAGATTGCAATCTACCTTCTGTCTACTCCTAATTTAGAGATCCTTAGTGGGAGATTCCACACCATTATTGAAAGTTTCTGCCTGTCTCCTTGCCTCCCTGCCACATAAAAAGTTAATGTGCAAAGAACCCCCTAGATCAGGGGTATCAAACCCGCGATGTCACGTGACGTGTTGCGATGTATCGTGACTTTTTTTCCATTGTCGGTAATGGGATGGGAGCGGTTTCGCCACGACACATCCGGCTGGCGGGCCAGCAGTTTGACACCCCTGCCCTAGATTTACAGAACCAAGCAGATACTATTTTCACTTTCAACTTGGTTATTAACTTATTTGAGAGTTTTGTTGTTTTCACTATATTACTATAATTATTTGCAACACAGGAAACTGCAATAGAGAGAGGCAATTGCTACAGTGGCATCATCTTTATTGATAGGAAGTGAATCTTCAGAGTTTCAGAAAACAAGTCTAATTTCCTAAAGTCTGCCCCAAAGGAAGCGCTAGGACAGAACCAATGCATACATCCCCAAATAGTAACCACTGATTGTCCAGTGTTTACTGTATCGCAATTGGCTGCTTCAGTCTTGGGCTCATTCTCAAAACACTACAATAAAGGGAGGGATAGTAGAGATATTAAGAGGTAAGACCGTTCAGCCTGGTTTGCTACAGTAGAATCAACTTGAAAAAGAATTAGCAAGCATGACATAGAGAAACCTCCATTACATTCCTGCAAAAGGAATACAGAGGCAAATACAAGGGAATAGAGATGAAGCCTCCAAATAATCCCCTTTTTTCCCTCCTTTCAACACAGTTAAAAGTTTTAAAGGGGAAGGAAAACATTTTTGACAGAAACCTACCTCTGCAAGGCCCGATACGACAGTATGAAAATGGAGAAAAACATAAGATGAAGTGAAATGGCACAAACTCAAATTACACAGTATGGTAAGGAACAAACCAAAAGAAGTCAAGTCATGTTCTAGCAGCTAAAGGAGTTAGTGGGGAGGGGAAAGGGATGAGGCATGCTATAGCTATTTTAAAGATTTATAATTTATTGCTGGAGTCCTTGGTTCATTGCAACATCCAAAGGTTTTATGAAAGCATTACTTTGTGACAGATCATTTGTCTGACTTTTATCTTTATCAGAGCCTGTTGGGACATTTTTATCCTGGTCATCTGATATCAAACAGCAATAGCAGAATGATTACCATACAGTCAAAGCAAAAGTTGTCTATGGAATTCCCTTCCATCTTGAGATACCAAAGACTGATCATCTTTTTGAACATCTCATCAGCCTGATCAATATCCAGAGCATTCAGCAAGTTTGCATTCTGGACAATTCACCCAAGAATATTGCATACAACCGTTTAAAAAAACTGGAGTATTCATCTGACCAAGGTTCCTCTTAGTTATCTTGGGAAGGGCAAGTGTACATGAAAAGCACACCCAAAGGTTTGGTACCAGCAGAGGAAAACTACGCAGATAGAAAAGACTATTTAAGATAGTTTACTAAAAAAAAAAATGATTCTGTAAGATATGGAGTCTTCCTGTTACCTGTCCTCTGGCCTATCTGGTTGGGGATATGATAATTGCAAAGAAGTTATTTTCATGCAGGTACCACCAGCTGAGATGGTCAGAGGAATTGGCACAGAAAAAAAATGCAAGGGGAATATTTGTCTAACTGAGCATCTTTGGGGTGTATGGCTCAAGCAGCACACAACATTCTTCTTCTCAAATTACAGCTATTGAATTTGAAACTCAGCCAGTATTTTCTCTAGCTCAATTCTTTATCGCTTCTTACACTCACTCATGGGAATTTTTCCGATGGGAAGAGATCCCTGCTTTATTCAGTACCCATTTTTCTACAAGCAATTCTTGTTTTACACAATCTTCCTAAGATTAGGCATGAGTAGGTAAGAAAAGGTCATCTCCCTCCCCACAGGCAAACATGGTAGCATAAGGTTGAAGTGGGCACATACTACAGGTCTCCTCATCCGAGTTATCCCCACAGTCGTTGTCATAGTCACACTTCCAGCGGCCTGGAACACAGCGGTTGTTCCTGCAGCGGAACTGGTAGGGCTCACAAGTCCGCTGATCTAAAAATGAAGAATGTGCAATTGTGGAGAGGTAATGGAAAAAAGCAGAAGAAATGAACAGCATTGCTAAAGAAAATTGCAGTAAAAATCAAACTGCACGTGCTCCCAAGGAGAATTTTCTAATTGTATGTGGAATAGTTTTGCACCACATTGTTAACACTGGGAAACCTTTATCCCTCGCTGTAGCACACAGTGGGCAACATAAAGTGTCCAGAAATAGATTAAGATTAGAAATCAGCTGCTGTTAGCAAAAGAGTTTGAACCAAACAGCCTGTCCCAAAAGGGTGTATCTGCCCAAATTCTTGGGAAGGAGGATGCGCATGCAGCCCGCCAGCCCCTATCCTTTCCAAATGTAGCCAGCCACCCATGGGATGGTCAACTTACCACATTCTTCCTTGGGCTCATCTGAACCATCCCCACAGTCATCCTCGCCATCACATTTCCAACGCGCTGGGATGCATCGGCCAGAATCCTTGCACCGGAATTCATCCAGACCACATCTCATTTGTGCTAAATGAGTGAAAAGGATTGAAGAGATGAAAGGGTCCTCCAAAATGAGGCACAAGCCGGCTGCGTTTTTTAAAACTGCACGCGTAAATAACACAGCCTCCAAGGCACAGAAAGCCAGCTAGTCATTATGAGCTTTCTCATTGCAGAAATAGTCAAGTAAACAAAAACTGAGCGGATTTTCGATAAGCGTTATAGTCCACAAAGGCTAAGGCCATTAAATAGTTAGTTTTTCAGGTTTCAAATTAGTGACTCAAATGGGCAAAGGAAGACCAAAGCAAGACATTGGGCATTCTTGGGGACACAAGACTATTCTCTCCCTCTCAGAACCAGCCCCCATAGTACGCATAGTGCCTTACTGCAGTTGGCAGGCTCATCGGATCCGTCCACGCAGTCGTTGTCACGGTCACAAACCCAAACTCGCGGAATGCAGCGTTTGGTAATGGCACACTGGAACTGGTTTGGAGCACAAGTCACTTCCGCTGTAAAAAAGAAAAAAAAAAGTGGAGACAGAAGATAACCCCAGTATATAATGGGAGTTCCCTGTAATGAATGCCAACTCTATACAATCAGACAATGACCCACAACATTATATATGCTGAACTATTGCCCTTCCACTGAAGAAAAAGATAGAGGTAATCCTTGACGTAGGACCACAACTGAGCCCAAAATTGCTGTTGTTAAGTGAGACATTTATTAAGTGAGTTTTGCCCCATTTTTTGACCTTTCTCGCCACAATTGGTAAGTGAATCACTGCAGTTGTTAAGTTAGTAACCCGGTGTTAAGTGAATCTGGCTTCCCCATTGGTTTTGCTTGTCAGAAGGCCGCAAAAGGGGATCTCATGACCTTGGGACACTGCAACGGTCATAAATATGAACCAGTTGCCAAGCATTCTGAATTTTGATCACGTGACTCTGGGGATGGTGCAAAGGTTGTAAGTCTGTAAAAGGGTCATACGTCACTTTTTTCAGTGCCTTTGTCATTTTGAACGGTCGCTAAATGAACTGTTGTAAGTCCAGGACTACCTGTATATATATATACATTGCTTACTGGTGTACACCGCTTAGAGAGTGCTTGCACTTAAAGCGGTATATAAGTCTCACAACTAAATAAATAAATAAATAAATGTTTAATGCCATATCTGTTCACTTTTTTCTTCTGAATTCAGTTCTGAACCACAACACCTGCAGATTTATTTACTTTGCATCGTGAGGACCGATGGCAAAATTCCATCTTTTTGCGTGCAATTTTACTAGCGTGATGCAAAATTAGCAATAAAACTGTAATTTGGCTGTCCCAGAGAAACAAAATCCCCAGGATGTTTACTGAGATGACGCTAATCGTGCAAGCAACATCTGATCTTTTGACAAGCCTGGCACGGAGACCGGCAGGAAAAAGGGACTCTTGTGCGTCACTTACGACAATCCTTCTCATCTTCTCCATCACCACAGTTGTCTTGCCCGTTGCAACGGAAGATGCCCGGGATGCAACGATTGGTATTTGTGCATTTGAACTGACTGGGCAGGCAGACATGGACTTCTGTCAGAGAAAAGAGAGAAAAGAATCCAACTTTAAGGAAGAGAAGGCTGACCAAATGCATCCCTCAGCCCTAATATTTGTCAGACATTCTCATGGGATTTATTTCCATGGCAGTCATTCTTGAAAGATCGGCCCCTCCCGTGTATGTAGACTTCTTAGGTTTACTCTGAAATTTCAGGGAAATAGAGAAGTAGGGAGGAAAAGAGCAATTCTGCCTCGGATCTTTTTGCTTTTCCTGGTTTGCCATTCTTATCACTTTAAAAGGTTAAGGAAAGCAAAAGGGAAAAATAAAATGAAAAGGGAAGGGAAAGAGAAAGGAAAGGTTTCGTCCAGAGGGCTTTTAGCGTAGCATGGGGATTTGTGGGAATGGAGGCAATTTTTTCTGATCTTCATACCAGGCTTTGAGAAATGACTGTTTTAAAATCACCATCACCACCACCTCCTTCTCCCCAATTTCTACTCTTTTCTGAGCGAGTCAATGGTGAATTTGGGATGGCTTGGTCACCTAACATCTTTTACGGTTTTGAACTTCTAACTTTTTAAAATAAGGGGTTACATATTAATGTGGCTGGTTTGAACTGCCCAACATCTTCTGCGGAATTATCCAGAAAGGCTGAGGATATACTTACCACAGTTGGCTTCATCTGAGTTGTCCTGACAGTCATTGTCCCCGTCGCAAATGAAGGCTGGGTTGGTGCAGATCCCTGTAGAGCACTGGAACTGCCCTGGGCGACACTTGAATTCAGCTGGAAAGAGGATGCGATGCTTTAGGAGAAGCTCCCTATGAATTCTACTTCACTGGGAGAGAACAGATTTCCGAGCAAAAGGTCCCAGACTTCAATCCCACATGCAAGTTTGGGCCAGGCAGCTAATGAAGGGGGGAACGGGACTTTTGACTCTGGAGCAACCTTTTTAATGCCGTGACCCCCAACCGGTCGTAAGTCGAGGACTTTCCCTGCCCGGGAGCGCCACACATGCGTGATGCCGCCCCCTGCCCCGGCCGAAGCGTAGCAGAATGGGACTTTTGGCGGGCTCAGCAGGGCAGAGACAGCCTGGACAATTCCTATTGGCTTTTGAAAACCAATAGAATTAGACTCTATTCAAGAGAGTCTATTCTATTGGCTTTCAAAAGCCAATAGAATAAAAGGGAGTAGCACAGCTAAGGGGAAAAAAATGGCGGACTGCGTTGTTTGGCAACCCCCGTGAAATTGTCATTCGACCCCAAATGGAGTCCCGACCCACAGGTTGAGAACCGCTGCTCTGGAGAATCACCATCATTCGGACTACAGTAAGGTAAGCAAGAGGGTGTCTATGGGCCATGCAGCTCACAAGGGTTAGAAAAATGGTGGTGAGGACCAACATTTATCTAGAAGAGTATTCATAGCTTCTGATACTGGCAGAGAGGAAGTAACCTCATCACTTTTGATGCAGATAAACAGACAAGCCTCTGGGGGCTACTCTACGTGTTCTTAGTACACCCAAAGTTTCAAAAGACCCCAAACTTCTCACATCAATGCCAGTAGGGTCAATGATCCATCACAATTTAAAACAGTTTGAGGTCTACTTTATTTCTTTTCAGCTGGTCAGCTAGTGAATCTTACAACCATTTGTTACTAGGCACTTTATTCCTTCTTGCTCATTTTGTAAATGTTCTGAAATAGCTGACCACTGGTAGCAATAACTTTTAATTTTAAAATTAAAATTGTATTTTAATTATATCAGGGAAGCTCATTTTTCCCAGATTACTCCGTTACTGTAAGGAACCTAATTTGTCAATCAAATTCAGGGCATTTTCAGTTTTTGGGTTTTACCTAATTGGGATTAAGGTCTGTGCAAAACACACCCGAGTTACTTTTAGCAACAATGAGCTGCTACTCATCGCACAGCAAGAATACTTCTTTGAAGGATTGCTGGCGAGTTTAATATATGGCTAGAGGAGTTATGTCCTCCATAAGGTATATTTCCTTTATGTTAGTACTCCCTGGATTTCATTCCTTAACAGGTGAAAAGCACAATAAGAGACTCCATGATGTCAGTGTTAACACTAGGCTTGGACATGCTTTATCTTTGGAAATCAGCTTCAGGGTGCTTATGAAATCATGAAACACCCTTGAGAAATCAAACAAATGATCTTTGGGCAATAACTCAAACCCAAAAGCACAGGGCTGTCATCCAGGAGGCTGATAACACAAGGAAGGATAATATCTTTGGGTGATCTATTTTAGCGCTATTAACACCTTAGAAATGGAGCAATCAGTGGGAATCCTGAATGAAGGAGATGCTCATTTGAACCCTGAGCTTGCCGTTTCATCAATGCTGCTTAAGTATGTTGACCCAAAGTAGTATCAGTTGATCCTTAAAAGTATGCAGGGCTGGGTCTTGTTAAAACGTGGATGGGGAAAAATATCAGGCCTGTAGGCCAGAAGTTAAGAAATAAATATTCTGGAAGAAAGCAAGGACAAATTCTTTCTGTAATGTTACCAAAGTCTTAGAAATGTCCACTAAGTCAACAGAAGTAGACCTTAACTCAAAGGAGACTTTGTCTTACAGTTCTAGAGTAACCAAAGTGCCTGTTGGGTCTCAACATCAGATACAAATTTTACTCACTTCAATGCTTCAAAATTATTATCTAGGCACTCTCACTGTTTTGAGCCAGGATTATCATCTATCTAAAATTAAGATAAGGGATTCTCCCTCCTAAGTCTCCTCCCAAAAGTTCACTTACGGCAATCCTCCGGCTCATCCGAACGATCCCCACAATCGTCCTCGGTGTCACATTTCCACCAGAAAGGGATGCATTTGTCATTCTTGCAGACAAACTGGCAGGAAGAAAAGGTAATGAGGCTGAAATAATGGCCAAGTGATGATCAGAAGAACATAAGCCATCACTCCGAGTCAAACCCGCAGCCAATGACATTGGCCATGTTAGAGCTTAGAAAGGTTCTCCAAAAAATGCCTGTTAGAAGCTGTGATAGGAACTCAATCTCTAATCGCCCCATACGTTAACTCATGGCTCTTCCCCAATTAAAATAAAAAAATATTTTTTAAAAAAACCCTTGTTTTGTCCCAGGAGGTCAGTTAAGAGGGATTATTTTCTCCAACTGAAGATCAGTTGAATGAATACACTGGTTGGAAGCTTTATGGATCGAACAAATGTTCATATTTGGATGAAGCCTTCCGTTTCATTGGCTTGGAAGTCTCCCTGTAACAGCAGCAAAGGGCAATTTGATGCCTACAATTAAAGAGAGCCCCACAATCCTCTTCGACATCTCATATAGCCTCCTGATATGGTGCTGCTGAAAGTTGGTGGTACACCTAAAATACAAAATCCCCTACTCTTAACCCCAAGAAACCACCATTCCAGATAACCAGACCACAGCATGATGATGTCTCTGAGGGATCATTGGTTTCTACCTCACTGAAAATTGTAAATTGTCTCTTTCACCAAAAAGTTGCCTGCCCGGTGCTCAAGCACGTTAAGAATCCCTTGACAAAGCAATGCACGAGAGGTATCAATACAGAGCAAGGGTGCAAACAGTGAGACCTAAAGATTACATGCAGTCTCTCAGCATCTCTTTTAAAATGGCCAGAAAATATAAGGCCAAAAAAAAAAAGGGCACATCTTTTGTATCTTTGGGATTTTGATAGGATATCAGAGTTTTAAAAAAAAAATCCCTTATGCCTTGTAAATAAGTCATCCTTTTTTTTCAAAAGATTTGGACTTGGTTACTTAAGAATGTGGCCCTCAGGGGGATGCTACCCTTGAGCAGATGGAAGCTGCATCCCTGACAAAGAGTTTTTATAAATAATAGAGCAATGTTTGTGTGCCCCAGCTGGTTACCTGACTAGCAGTGCAGTTGGAGATGCAGGTTCTGCCATCAGCACCCAGATAGAAGTTGGTAGGACATGCACACCTGAAGTTCCCTCCTGGTGACAGCAGGCACAAGTTGCTACAGCCGCCATTGTTGGTTTTGCAGGGATGGTTAGGAACTAAGGGAAGACAACAAAGAGATGTATGTTACAGTAATTAATAGCTGCTTGTGGTGATATGACCTTTGCCAAAGACATCCGATCCCTGCTCTACTGCACAAAGATATCAAAATATCCTTTGCCATATATAAAGGAGAACCTGACTCCCCCCCCAACTTCTCTTGCATTCACAAACACACTTACCCGCTACCCACTACAAACAAATGAATGCAAAAGTTACCGTGCATGTGAGAGAAAGGAACAAAATCTATCTGAAGGAAAATAAAAAGAAACATGTCCTGATCAACAATGTTTGATTTTTCTCCATCACTAAAGTGACTGCAGTTGGTTTATTGTGCTTGGACCTCCAATATAGCAAGAGCACTTACTTATATATATTCCACTTTACAGTACTTTACAGCCCTCTCTAAGCAGTTTACAGAGTCAACCTATTGTCCCCAACAATCTGGGTCCTCATTTTACCGACCTCGGAAGAATGGAAGGCTGAGTCAAGCTTGAGCAGGTCACAATCGAACTGCTGGCAGTGGACAGAGTCAGCCTGCAATACTGCATTCTAATCACTTGTCAACTGCCCCCGTGGCTCACTGAAGCATTTACCAACTGCTAGCACTTGGCAGTGTAAGACTCCTTGCTTTTACCACCAACAACCTGCCTTTCCATCTCTGCCCTGGCAATGTCTTGAAGGACATTTCCACATTTTATTGTGTCTTAACACTGCCCCATGATACGGTAACTGAGACTGATTCCTACGCATAACGCCTTTCTTCCTCCTTTCAGCACCCTTACAGAGAATACTTACCATCTGGCTGCCTGTAAGGATGGTAGATGTGGATATCCATGGGCCGATGTAGAGTGCTGATTAGCACAGATTTATTGGCCCCTGTGGTTTTGTGGGCTCGGTTGATGGATTTGGTCTCCCAGTCAGTCCAATAAATGTAATCTTCAAAGAGGGTTAAGGCAAAGATGTGGGGGATATCTTGGTTCAGCACTACAGTGGGAGAAGAGTAATTTTTACTTGGTGGCAACATGAAAGCCAAGTGAACATCTAGGCAATGGGCACGGAGAGCCCTAGGGTCAAGGATATTATCTGCTCAGTACTATGGCAAAATATTCACAGCTTGAGAATGCTCCTCCTGTTCTGAACAATATGGTCCTTGCTACCCAAAAGGTTCCCTTTTCCTGTTTTTTTTTTTTTTTTTAGAAAATCCATCAAAAAACATCTATTCCATTGGGCTTCGGGGGCTAATATAGTACAATTTATTCCCTAGAGCAACAGAAGTTATCTTTGGCTTGGTTGAATGGATTAGTGCTATAACTCTTTTATGAAATATGCTTGCTTTTCATTGCCCTGTATGCTTTTAACCTAATTTATGACGGTAGGAATATACATTACTCAGTTGGATTTGATTTGAGTAGCTTATGAGCCCAGTATGTTTATTTATATATACTATATATATTCACGGATAAGACCATCTGGGAATAAGCTGACCCTTAAATTTTTAACCCAAATACCATGAAAAATGCATCACCTGAGCATTAAACCATTTTCATAATAATAATTTTCATAATTGGCTTATTTGCAAGTATATATGGTAGTCATTTATGACAGGTGGGGTTCAACTGAAACGCCTCTTTCCATTTTGTTAATCTAGCTCTTGGAATGAAAAATAGGAATAAAAAAAGAAAAAAATATGACAGTAATAGGTGGAAAATTTTAAGTATTGAATTCCATTTTCCCTAACTCCTCATGCTTGCTAGTTGCCATTTTTTAATTCATTGTATTACCCCTTGGAATCATTTTATGTATTTGTGTCAATCAGAGTAGCGGTTCTTGAAATTAAAAATAGTGGTACTTTTAACAGTGAGGAACCAGGTAAAATATGTATACATGTTGCACCTACTGATCTTAAAACCAGCTTCCAATTTGGGGAAATTCAAAGGACTAGGCATAGTGTTATCCTATCTTTTGCCAATGATATCCAGATAAGTCTGGACTCAACTTTAAAACTTTGGTTCATTCTCAGCTATGAACAAACCAACCATACATCTCTGTTCCAGTCAAGACACTAATTTATAAGTGGAAGGAAACTGCAATTCAGCTCTGGCTGGCACATCTGCTGTCATGATGATCGCCACACAGATTGTTGCTTCCGTTTCTCGATTTGGCTGATCCAAAGGTCATTACAGTGAGGAAATACAAATATCAAAATATAATATGGGGCAATAATCCACACAACAACTGCAATTCACCATGTGCTTAAAGTGATAAAAAGCTGGCATTCAAATGCCATTGTGTATGCACAGGAGGCAACTCTTCCAGTTGCAATTTCTATTTCAAAAAAAAAAAAAAAAGATTACAGCACTTATTCCTCTTTATGAAAAAACGTTCCAGATACTTTAATCTTACCACAAACAAAATCTGACAGGAGAAATGAGGATAACCTGCAAATCCCCTCCCCCCAACTTTTAAATAGGCAGATCCCAGAAATATGGTTCTGCTGTATTTATTCTCTGTGTGTAATGAGCTTTATTATTGATGCTGTCATTTTGAATTGACTCTGGTGAACACGTATTTTGAAAGGTGATATGTAGGCTGCTGTTATTATTTGTCCCACTTGTAGGATCCATTGTTTTGCACTGTGTTTGCTGCAGACAGCTTGTAGCAAAGCTGTCAATGCACGGTGCAACAAGGAATTTTAATTTTCAACCAGCTTGTTACAGAAGCCGATGCTGATTTGTTTGCCCTAATAGAAATTGACTTGCTTAAGATCATCCTGGTAACTTGTGTGCCTAAAGGAAAACTAGAACTCAGGATTCTGCATTCCTCATCTCGCACTACATCATACTGGCTCTCAAAAGGTGATATATACGTAACAGTAATAAAAAAAAATGTCAGCGACATACACAGAGAGAGAGCCTCAAAAGTAATAGGGAACAAAGGAACCCTGCAAAATGCTACTGGAGGTGCAGAGGGAAAACATTTAAGAGACAATAAAGGGGAGGGGGGGGCTTTAAAAACAGACTCTAAAACCAAAATTAAGGCTAGCTGTCTCCAGAAGTTGTGAATGTTCCAGTTTTTAAGAAGAGATTGGACAACGATTTGTCTGAAATGGTATAAGGCAGAGGTCCCCAACTTTTTGGGCACCAGGGACTGGTTCCTTGGAGAGAGGTTTTTCCACGGACTGAAGAGTGTGTGGTTTTGTGTGCTGCATGCATCTCGTGGATGGGGCTTTGCTTGTTTGTGCGGACCAGTTGCTGGCATGCTGCGGCCTAGTACCGGTCCACAGACTGAGGGTTGGGGACCTCCAGTATAGGGTTTCCTGCCTGAGCAGAGGGTTGGACTAGAAGACCTCCAAGGTCCCTTCCAATTCTATTATTATTATTATTATTGTTGTTGTTGTTGTTGTTGTTGTTGTTGTTGTACTAGTTCTTGTACTTGTTGTTATCAAATAGAGAGAAGTTGGAAATCATGGGAGGAATATGCATCCCATCAATCTTCTGTGCAATCTTCTAAGCCCTCTTCTGGCTACTTTATTCAGTTTCTCTGCATATGAATGTGAGCTGTTACAATTCACTTACCAATGTGGCGGTTAGAACCATCCAGGCTAGCAAATTCAATGTAGTCCTCTCGGGCATCGGCCCAGTAGATGCGACTGTTAATGTAGTCCAGGGTGAGGCCATTGGGCCAGGTGATCTTAGTCTCCACAATGACACTCCGGTTGGTACCATCCATACCTATCTTGCCAATCAGGGAATGGTCACCCCAGTCAGTCCAGTATAAATATCTGGAAGAGAGCAAATGGAGTGGGCAAGAAATGGTATAAACGTAGGACTACGACTGTGATCACTCAGGGTTTTTTTTTTTTTTTCATCCTAGCATTTTCCATTGGTTGTGACAGGAATTAATCAACCAGCTTTTTGCCCGAGCCTGAAGTTGTGGCCTGAGAGAGTAAGTGACTGGCCTGAAGTCACCCAGCTGGCTTTCATGCCTAAGGTGAAACTAGAACTCACAGTTCTAGCATGGTGACTTAACCTCTAGAGCAGGGGTCTTCAAACTTGGCCCTTTTATGACTTGTGGACTTCAACAAGGCATGCCTGGCTGAGGAATTCTGGGAGTTGAAGTCCACAAGTCATAAAAGGGCCAAGTTTGAAGACCCCTGCTCTAGAGCAAACTGACTCTCTTTCTCCCATCTTGTTAAAATCTTAAATTCACAATGGTATAAAATAATACAGGTAGTCCTCAACTTACAACAGTTCATTTAGTGACTGTTCAAAGTTACAACGGCACTGCAAAAAGTGACTTATAACTGTTCTTCACACTTCCGACCGTTGCAGTACCCCACGGACATGCGATCAAAATTCACATGCTTGGCAACTGACTCATATTTATGACAATTGCAATGTCCAGGATCACGTGATCACCTTTGGTGACCTTCTTCCAGGCAAAGTCAATGGGGAAGGCAGATTCACTTTAACAACGTGTTACTAACTTAACAACTACCTGTGATTGTGACAGTAAGTCGAGGACTACCTGTTTTATAAAAATGGACATGGTGCTGATAATGGGCAACAAATTCATTGCATTAGAGAAGTGAGAGAAGCTTCCCTATCCAATCTAACAAGATATGAAAAAGGGTCCTATCCCCCTCCAAGAAGGTTAACACATTGGGAAACATTATACTTGTTCTATGAAGCCAAAGCCCCCAGCCTCCACTGCAGAACGGTTGTCAAAAACTGTAGCCAATTCATGCACCCAATTATACTATATCTAAGGCAGTGATTCTCAACCTGTGGGTCGGGACCCCATTTGGGGTCGAACGACCATTTCACGGGGGTCACCAAACAAGGCTGTCTGCCATTTTTTCCCCCTTTTCTTTGGCCACGCCCCTGGCACCTGGTGATGTATAAGTGGTTGGGGGTTACCACAACATGGGGAACTGTATTATGGGGTCGCGACATTAGAAAGGTTGAGAACCACTGATCTAAGGGGATCTCACAAAGGGGAGATCGTCTGCTACTTCTGCTGCCCCTTGTCACTTAAGCAGAACCTGACTGTCCTTTAAAAGGTGGCAATAGATCAAGAAATGGCCTATTCCCAGAATTTTCTGCTCTGGTTCATTAACTCTTAACATTTAAGCCTTATAGGCCGGCGTACAAGGCGACCCGGCGTATAAGACGACCCCCATCTTTATCGCCGGGCCGCATTCCTAGAACGTCGTCTTATACGCCGGAAACTACCATTATTTCCGGCGTATAAGACGACTCGGCGTATAAGACGATCCCCGTCTTTGGTGCCGATTTCAGCGCTCGCGAAGTCGCCTTATACGCTGGCATTTACGGTATATGGTTTTAGTGACTAAATTAACTAGTTAAGAGTAAAACAATGAAACATTACATCATTCATGCAATGGGGGTGTCAGGGATGAACAAAGAATGCAGGTGCTGGATAAAGAAAGGTGCCAGCCAGACTAAGTAAATGAATCCTCATGCATTTGGGAAACTTACCCATTCTGTACATCCACCACTAATGCTCGAGGCTCCCGGAGTCCTGTGTTCACCAGCACGGTGCGGTAAGCCCCGTTGAGCTTTGACACTTCAATAGTATCCCTTCCCTTGTCACACCAGTACAAGTTTCCACCCACCCAGTCCACAGCCAGTCCATCGGGATTGCTTAGCCCAGTGCGGTGTAGAACCTGGAAGTGAAGAGGAGAAAATGTGGATATCAACGAAAGCTAAAAAAAAAAGGAACTGGGATTTCTCTCCTATTAGGGACCAGCCGTGTTTGCCTTAGAATGGGAAGAGATAAGAGTTTCACTTCAGCAGAGTTTTTCTTGAGTCTGGAGTGAAAAACTGCTTGGGTATAGAAAAGCTGATCATACCAGAAAAGAGCACAGGCTTCAGCTAGAAGGCAAACAGGCCACATGGACCAGGGAAACTCACCTGTACATTGCTGCCATTGATGTTCATGCGGCGGATCATACTGCCCTGTGTGGTAACATCAGTCCAGTAGATCATTTGTTCCCGGTAGTCAAAGTCCAAAGCTACAGCATTATTCAGCCCCTAAAACCATCAAGACAAAAAAAAAAAAAAAACATTCTTACATGTGGCTAAGGAATAAACCATTCCAGTATTATATGCAGACTTTATATTTGGCCCTCACCCCCCCCCCAACGTTACCTGTTTAATCAATGTGTAGTTGGAGCCATCCAGACTAAGCTTTCTTAGGTAGTACCGATTAGCAAAAATCAAGAAAGGTTCATCATCTGTTAAAAGGAAGTAAGGGAGGGGTGTCAGAGGGTCACTAAATGCTGGGAAATCCCAGTGCTCCTCTAATTTCCTCATTTTTCACCTTCCCATCACTTGCAAATTGAATCTGCCACAGAGAGATGCTTCAATCATTCCCATTATTTATTTATTTATTTATTTTATTTATGAGCCTTATATACCGCTTTAAATGCAATAAGCAATGTGTGTGTATGTGTGTATATATATATATATATATATATATATATATATATATATATATATATATATATATATATAGGTCGTTCTCTTAAAATTGGAAGTGTCTTGGCAACGTTTCGACGAAGTCACATTCGTCATCTTCAGGCTGGTGTTTTTAGCTTCTTGCTTTGAGCAGCAATTTGCTGCTCAAAGCAAGAAGCTAAAAACACCAGCCTGAAGATGACGAATGTGACTTCGTGTGCCAAGACACTTCCAATTTTACGCGGGAGAAAACCCGAACAACCAAAGACCTATATACAAATACCCGCGAAAACCTGTATATATATATATATATATATATATATATATATATATATATATATATATTTACATTGCCCCCAACAATCTGGGTCCTCATTTTACCTACCCCGGAAGGATGGAAGGCTGAGTCAACCTTGAGCCGGTGATATTTGAACCGCTGACCTGCTGAACACAGTCAACTAAAGTGGCCTGCACTCTAACTGCTGCGCCACCTCAGATTATTCAGGAGATACAACATTTAAGATCTTTTAAAGAGACAGAGGAGATTTAAAACAGGCAGCAGGCAACTATGATATGCAATACAGCTAGTCACCCACTTATGGCCGGTAGCTTAGTGACCATTCAAAGTGACAATGTACAATCCCTTGGCTACTTGTGACTCGGATTCAAAGTTCTGATGCTGCTCTATCATCCCACAGTTATGTGACTGCATTGTGTGGGCTCGGTAACTGGCCCACGTGTATGGCTGTTTGTAGTGTCACACAGCCTGAATTTACGATATTTTTGCCGGAAATTTACATTTAGTTCTGGTTTCCGGCAAAAAACAATAACAAAAAAAACCCCGACATTATGGAAAATGGATTTCTTTAATGACTGCCACGTTCACTTTGTGGATGCTGCATTTACCTAACAACTGGTGCAAAAAAAAGTATATAACATCTGCTGTAGTTATGTGGTAACCCATTTAACATTTGGCACAGCTTATATGACCATAATTTGAAGCTCAATTATGGTTGCAAGTCTAAGTCTACCTGTAGGGGAATGTGAAGATGGTAACTGTTATATTTGTAACTTCTGGAAAGATGATTGGAAGTCGCTCTTTCCAGTATCTTTCTTTTTCTTGCCTTTTTTTTTTAAAAAAAAATGTTCTTCACTTTTTCTTTTACCCCTTTATAATCTTTTTTCCTATTTCTTCTTTGTTGTTCCTGTAGTTTTTAAAGTCTTTGTAAAGTTTTCTTCTAGAAAAAATTACTTAAAAAAATAAATAAAAAAGAAGCAGGACCGACAATTCACTGAACCAGACACAAAGAGAAGCTATGGGACTGAGATTGAGAAAAGAGTGGAGCAACATTGTTTCTCAGAATCTCACATTTAAAGCTTGAATTTCCAGGAAAAAAAGAAAGGCAGATAAGAGGAAGCAAGAGTTTGTGCTTTAAGATAAACGGTTATTTCTGCAGAAAGAGCTCTTTGTGTTTTGCCCAAGGTTTGTCTTAAATTGTTTCTTTTGTGTGTGTGCTGCTGAGTCAAGTCTAATGCTCCAATTGATAAATTAGAAAAAAATGATTGTGTATCCTTGGTCTTGCATTACAATTCATCAGACTGGCTGGGAATATTTTTTTAATAATCTTTTGGTAATCTGTATCTTAAATTTCATCATCTTCCATCTTGCAGGGAAACAGTGTTTATTTGTTGTCTGCCTGGAGCATCTCTTTTTCACAATTATGGATTTTCTGCTCAGCTGCTATTAAGCTGCTGATTCTGATCAAAGAACGTGCCTAACTCCTTTTCCACAATGTTGCATGTATACATTTTAAGGTTTAAAGTTAAATGGCAGTTTGATATTTATCTTTTTAAGCAAGATAGGTAGATAGATAGATAGATAGATAGATAGATAGATAGATAGATAGATAGATAGATAGATAGATAGATAGATAGATAGATAGATAGATAGATAGATGATATGTTTATCTGTAGTAAGATTGGTCAATTTCCCAAGCAGAGAACTTAGCTGAAAAAGTAAAAAGGCGGCATTATTGAAATTATTTCATCTTTTGCACTTTTGATGCAAAGAAAGGAAGGACACCAGGTGAGGTGTCCTCTGAAAAACAGCAGGAATTATGAAGTTAGTAGCTCAGCATGTGGTGGGGCTTGAGTATTAGACCCAAATGGCTTCTCAGATAAACACAGCCTAGGGAAGGCCCAGGCTACACCTATATACAGCTTTTCTATTAGAAGCCCTTTGAAGCTGAAACAATAGTTCCAAATTTGATGTGGGTTGTTCTGAACTCACTAGAAGTACCTGAGGCTCTTTGGATTATTTCTGATGTGTTCCAAGGCCCCAAACACTTCCACTATGGCTGAGGCATAGGACTAATTCCAATGAGGTCAGAAGCAATCTAAGAGACACTCTTTCAATTTGTTGCATCTTATTCAACTCTTGGCCCACCAAACAAATCTTGCCAAACTCTGAATCTTTGACTCACACTCCCAAATGTCAGGAACTTTTGCAGTTCGTAAGAGTCAGTATTACCTGTGACAGCTTTGCAGCTGGTTGGATCATCAGGCTTCAGAACGTAGCCATCTATACACATACACTTAAAGCTTCCGTGGGTGTTGATGCAAATCTGGCTGCAGGGGAAGGTGGTTGTGCACTCGTCAACGTCAATGCAAGTCTTGCCATCATACTTCAGCTGGAACCCAGGGCGGCATCTGCACTGCAGGGGCAGCAGAAAGTCACTACATGTTTATAGGGAGGACCCTGGGAAACACAATCCCTCTCTCATTCACTGGGGGGAGAAGAAAATATTTTCTTTCCCTGACTTTGCCTTACAACAGTGTTTCCCAAACTTGACAATTTTAAGGCATGTGGACTTCAACTCCCAGAATTCCACAGGCAGCATTGCTGGCTGTGGAATTCTGGGAGTTGAAGTCCTCATGCCTTAAAATTGTCAAGTTTGGGAAACACTGCCTTACAACAAACTCAATTGACAGGACGACACAGGCTATGGGATAGATATAAAATACATACTGATCTCCTGCTAGTTCTCAACCAGAATCGATCATTCCCAACTAGTCAGCTGTAAGAGTAATTTTTCCCTCCGAAATTCTTTCTATATTATAATGATGAAGTGAAGAAAATGTTGCACAAGGATTTGCAGTGAATACCTATTCAACTCTGGGTGCAGATGCCTCAGCTGTGAAACCTCTATTTCTACATCTAGAAATATGTTATTGATTTGGCATATTTAAGAACCTAAAACACTCAAGGTTTTATGGCATATCAAAGTAGATTCATCAGGTATGGCCAATACTTACATCTTCTTGAACCTAAGCCATGTACTCTGCCCATTAATTTGTAACTCCATGGCAGGAAAACTAACAATAAAGTATATACCTAATCGTTTTCTGACTCCAACAGTGTATCAAACAGTATATCACCTCTAACTGCCTGGCGGTAGGCCTTGGTCTTGATACACCCTCTTCCCCAAAGCAGAGAAAAAGAAACTACAGCCCAACCTTGTAGCCAATTTTGAGGTCCTCACACTCCTGGGAGCAGCCAGTCTGCTTCTTGTTCAGACATTCATTGATGAAACAGTTCAGCTCATCAGAGCCATCCCCACAGTCATCGTTGTTGTCACAAAGCAAACTGTTGGAGATGCACTGCTCATTGTGGCAGAGATAAAAGGTATCATTGCACTTGCTCTCTGAAATGATAGTGAGAAATCATTAGGACTGATCTCAAAGCAGTGGGTTTTTCTTCCACCCACCAAGTACCTTTCCATATTTACAACTTTAAAGCCATCTCCCAAGAGCTAACGAGCACAACCTTCTCTGCATGTGAGTCAACCTGTTTCCAGCCAGAGTTGTATATTTAAACAACTTCCTGTAGACATGACACCCAAGGGGCTTCATTACAAAGCATGATCTCCCCCTCTAAAATTCCAAGTGTATCGCTACCCATGATATTAAACACAATTCAGTAACAAAAGCACTTGATAATAAAAAGACCTCACTATCTAAACGACATACTTAATGAATTATCCTTAATAATTCAAGCTTAGATGGCAACCTAATTTGTCCCTCAAAGAGGGCAAGTAGTGATTTTTGCAGCGTTCTCTTCCAATCAGGTAACAAACCTTCTACAAAACCTCTCTCAGTGTGGAGGATGTTCTTATTTATAGCTTTTTAAATTAAATATAACTTTTTATAGCTTTAAAAAAATGAGAATGGCATTGATCTGTGTTCATGGAACAAGACAGGACACCTCTAGGGTGGTGGGATCAGCTCCCATACTATACAACAATCCGACTCCTCCCTCTAGATCAGGGGTTCCCAACCAGGGGTGCGAGACGATATTCCAAGAGGTGCAAAAACTTGGCTTTTCAAAATGATAGTGTATGTGCATAATTTGTTGCCGTTATTTCAAACTTTTGTAAGGGGTGCGAGAATGTATCAGAAGCATTCTAAGTGTGTGGGGTATAGAAAAGGTTGGGAGCCACTGCTCTAGATTAATTGAAGATTCCCAGTGCTTTTTAAAAAGTACATAGAATCCTGTTGCTGGGTTACTAATTAACTAGGAACAGACCCATTAAAAGAGAGCTCCATTTTGTTCTCACTCTTTCTGACCGTGGACTTGCTATAAACCAACAAAAGTACAAGTGGCCACCCCCCCCAACCCCAAACCTTTGGAGACCTACCAGGGCTAGAGCATCTTGGATTCTTGGGGGCTTCATCAGATTGATCATGGCAGTCAAACTCGCCGTCACACTCCCACAGTTTGTTGCTCAGACATCGGCCATTAGCACAACGGAACTCGTTGGAGCTACAAGTGGGGTACTCTGGGGAAGGCCAAAAGCGGAGGGGATAAGAAATCAGGCCATGACACAATGGTGCCTTTTTTTTTAAAATCATGTGACAGGATCAACATACATTTGAAGAACACTCTATTTGCTTTAGTGTAAGTAATATTATGCAAAATGCAGAAAAAGCGTAAGAGGTAGTGAGGCAACGAAGAGATAAAAATAGAAACCTAACCAATCTAATTTATACCAGTATTATTTATTGTACTTCTCCGTTTTGTTCTATCCTTGAAAACCATCCTTGCTTCCATAACAATTCACCAATTCGTACATTCTTTAACCTTCCCACCTCTCTCTTTTTGAGGTTCTCATTAATTCTGTCCTTCTTTCCTTTCACTCATTCATCCTTCTTTTATATGGTAGTCCTCAACGTACAACCACAACTGAGCCCAAAATTTCTGTGGTTAAGAGAAACTTTTGTTAAGTGAATTTTGCCCCATTTTACGATCTTTCTTGCCACAGTTGCTAAGTGAATCACTGCAGTTGTTAAGTTAGTAACATGGTTGTTAAGTGATTCTGGCTTCCCCACTGACTTTGCAACCGTCATAAATATGAGTCAGTTGCCAAGTGTCTGAATTTTGATCACGTGACCATGGAGATGCTGCAACAGTCTAAGTGTGAAAAATGGTCATAAGTCACTATTTTCAGCGGTGTTGTAATTTCGAACAGTCACCAAATGGAATGGGGTAAGTCAAGGATTATCAGTATATCTGTTCTGTAATTTGACCCCCATTTATACTCTCTATATCACTAAACGTACCTAAACATAATTCTTCCATACTAGTTACTCAGTTTTGTAAATTCATTCAGCACTTACAAATTCCTGGCCTCTCTCCTATTTTATAATATACACTTCTTCAGTACCCCAAACCTGCTGCATTCAACTTATTTTCATGTTTCTCCTTACAGCCCTAAATCTTACTTCCAAGTGATAAAGTAGATATAGTCATCCATGACCATTTTCACTTCTTTTGAGAAACATATTGGATACTACCCACCTATCGATGTTTGCATGTATTAGAAACCTATCCATTTCCCCGCCTTCAGTCATCATTCTACCCAGGTACACAAATTCACCAGCTTCCTCTACGTTTTCACCATTTATGTCTAACTTGCAATTTTTCACTCCATTTTTCTTGTCAAACACAACTACCTTGATATTTGATAGATCAATCTTCAGGCTCCTACCCTTCAAACCATCATGCAATCTATATAACATTTGCTGGAAAACATTTGAGTTTTCAGCAAGCAACGTGGCATTGTCTTCCCATCAAAATATGCACGTGTTTATATCTCTGACCAGCACATCTTTACTGCAGCCTTATAATTTATTCATAAATATACTAAACAGATTAAATATCACATATCCGTGTTACACACACATCCAGGTTAGGCTTATAGTCCTTCACTTATGCACATACAAATCTCAGATCCCTTTTGTTTTCTGCTTGGGTTTCCCAGATAGATGTGTCTGGAGCATATAAAACACTCAGCCCTAGTTATCAAACTGGAAAATAATTAGGAACACATACAAATCACTTTCAACCAAAGATTGGGGCACTTCAGGTTTTGATGGAATACATGAAGATTCAATGGTGTGATCTTGCACATTTATACAATTATTCTCACTTACCCAAGTCCTTTTCAACCAAACTGTCCAGGCATTAGCTACAACAGTCCATACACCTTAAAACTGCCAATGGAGAAAAGCACTGAACTAAAGGAATTGAAAGCATCAAATCTAGATCCAGGATGACTAAAAGACTGGGTGGGGTTCAAAGTTTTTCTCCCAAAACTTTTTCTTCACAAAACTGATAACTGTGAATTGATTGGGGAGGGGGCACCTTGTACGCTCAGCACCTAGATTTCTTTGTCTATTTTCATGTAAATGACCTAACTTGCAAAAGCAAAAGAGTCTATGCTATCTGTTAGCTAAAATTACAGTATGGTCAAGGGTTGTCTGGAAGTGCTTCTGGGCCCCCAAAACAGCCTGCTCACGTAAGAACCACTATAGCAAATTGGCTCTTAGAGAACAATTGGGGAATGTCTTTCGTACAGGGTGAAAGTTTAATTACAATCTAACTTCTTCAAATTAAGCTATCATAAAAGCCAGCAAATAGTTTCTTAATTTGCACATTTTTCTCATAGCTCTTAAAATAGTCTACATAATAATTATATAAATAATAAATTAAAATATAATTATTTTGCTTTCAGCTGATTTCAATTGCCTTCAGATAGCCAAATTTGATTTGGCAGTAAGCTAATAAAAATTGCTCCCATGGTTAAGCTAATTCTAGGCCGGCACTTACCACAATCTGGGGATTCATCAGAACCATCACCGCAGTCATCATCGTGATCACACACAAAATGTTTTGGGATGCACTGCTGGTTGTTGCACATAAATTCCCGTTCATCACAGGTGTTGTTATATACTGAAACCACAGATTACAAATGAAATCAGTTATGCCATATCCCTCGGTGTAGTTCGGTTCTTTTCACTGTACCACAATCAGTTCTTATTAATTGCAAAATGCATGACATGTGTACATTTTAATAAAGAGAACTGTGAGCAAATTCATACAATTACTTCTTTCCACTGTGCATTTGTTCTTATCACCGTCACAGAAAAGAAAACCAAAGATGCAACCGTTTTGCTTCCAGACAGCATTTCTTCTCCTAGGAAGAAATGGTGAAAATTGTTCCCCTGACTTTTTGGGGATAATTTACCCACCACCGCCACCAGAGGCAATGGTGAATGTCCGCCCGTTCTGAAGAAAGAAGAACATTTTCAATTTCACTCTTTCTGGGATGATGCAAATTATATAACTCATGCATGATACAACGAAATTACTGAAACAAAATAAGATGCACCAAAATACTGGCGCTATATGTGATTACTAAGAATATAATAATAATAATAATAATAATAATAATAATAATAATAATAATAATAAGAAGAAGAAGAAGAAGAAGAAGAAGAAGAAGTAGTAGTAGTAGTAGTAGTAGTAGTAGTAGTAGTAGTAGTAGTAGTTGGAAGGGACCTTGGAGGTCATCGAGTCCAACCTCCTGCTGAAGCAGGAAACCCTACACCATTTTGGACAAATGGCTGTCCAGTCTCTTCTTAAAAACTTCCAGTGTTGGAGCATTCACAGCTTCTGAAGGCAGGTTGTTCCACTGGTTAATTGTTCTAACTGTCAGGAAGTTTCTCCTTAGTTCTAGGTTGCTTCTCTCCTTGATTAGTTTCCATCCGTTGCTTCTTGTCCTACTTCAGGCACTTTGGAAAATAGCTTGACTCCCTCTTCTTTGTGGCAGCCCCTGAGATATTGGAACACTGCTATCATGTCCTCCCTCGTCCTTCTCTTCATTAAACTAGACATACCCAATTCCAGCAACCATTCCTTATATATTTTAGCCTCCAGTCCCCTAATCATCTTTGTTGCTCTTCTCTGTACTCTTTCTAGAGTCTTGATCAAAGCAAGATTGAGATTTATACAGCTGACAATACTATCAGTTACAGATCTTATTGCATCATTTCCCCTTTGCTTCCTATGACAGGCTATCGAAATAGGGCATCTCATTATCTCAACACATTAGGCCCTCTTGTATCTGGTCATGGCTATGTGAAACATGTAAAACTGGTCAAAGAAGTCAATTTTTGAACGCAGTATCTTATTATTTTATCCCTAACTTTCCCAAAACACTATAGGAAAACCAGCCTCTTTCACAAATAAAACCTCCTGATCCAAATCATCAGAAAAGCATGAGGTGCCCAGCTTTGACTGATATCTCATAAGGAGGGATTTGGTACTCATCATTTTTATTCTCCTTCCTCTCTGACAGCCTTTATCACCAAGTCCTATTCTTACACACAGTGGGACTGTGTACTAAAATATACAGACAAAGTCTTGTTTACGAAGATGAAATACAGCAGAAGCTTCGCTTGCCTCTTAAGGTAACCAACAGCAAAATGAGTAACAGCAAGAATTCATCAGACTTCCAGCAAGAGACTATAATCAAATATAGAATGTTAAGAAGAAGAAGAAGGAGGAGGAGGAGGAGGAGGAGGAGAAGAGAAGGAGAAGAAGAAGTAGTAACTCACAGCATCCAGCAGACACAATTTCATCAGCCCCATCAGGACAATCTCTATCTCCATCACATAGCCAGCGTTGTGGGACACATAGGTAGGTGTTTGGGCACTGGAAGGTTCCTGCAGCACAAGTAGTATGACCTAAAGAAGCCAAAAGATGAACAAGTACTGAGCCTGACAAATTCAAAATTCAGAAATTTGTGGTTTTTCTTATAACCTTCCCACATTTTTTTCACATCACACACGCATTTCACACATCCACACCTCCCCTTTTTTTTAACTGCTACTGGAACGAAGAAAGCTTTGATCTCAGCTTTTCTTTTTCTTCCCTTTTACAAACAACACATTAGTTTTTTTTTTAATTTTTAACTTTCAGGGCATCAAAAATGACTTAGATCAGGAGCAAATTTTTATTTCTCTACGAATGTATAGACTACTTTGCTCAACTGACTTAAGCAGTGTGTAGGAGTGTGAGATAAAGCCTATGCAACCTGACAGGAAGCCAGTGCAGCAGTAAAATACAATAAAAATATATAAACAATAAAACGTTTAAAGTTACAACTAATTACAGAATATTCTACGCCTCAGGAGCTCTGCAGAGTTCAAACCCAAAAGCCTTCTAAAGAATCATCAAGCTTCCAGAATGCCATGACAACGGAAGCTACCTTTGCTGAGGGGAGGGGAAGAAGAAGAGAGAAAGCGAGCAGTTACAGAAGAGAGGAAGCCCTTATCACACGGGTCACTATAAGCAGGCATCTTCAGCAGAGATGTGCTTTGGGCTGGAGCAGGCAAAATCTAAACAGAGCAGGCTTCAGACAGCTGAACCCTGAGCTATGAGGTTTTACAACCGAGTGTTTGAATGGCATTCAGATATAGAAGGGTTACCAATGCAAATCCCATAGCTAGGGCGTCACACGGCATATTGAGACTGTCCAGTCAGTACAGGGGCGGCTTACTGGAGAAGCTGATTCCCACATAGGAATCGACAAGGGCATGAGTGGCAAATTTCTGTGCTCATTCCAAATAATCACGAAACTCGGTGGTCCTGTATTCTGTTAATTTCTGTTGGGAAGACATATTGAGCACTAGAAAGGATTTCTCCAGAAATCATGATCTGAATTAGGCATTATTTCGATCTTGCACTGAATTGTGCGTTCTTTGGGGACTGAAAGCAACTAGGACTGAAAAAGGATTCAACCCACCTTTTAACACCTGTTACCATCTTTTTTCCCCCCTTTGATTTGTTGTGAAGCATCTCTCATCATAATCAAAACCACACAGGTTGATTTTTAAACTAGTAAATGGCAGGGATGGGCAAATTAAGGCTCTGGCACCATATTCTGCCGCTAGGGTTTTTGTTTTGGTTTGGGGGTTTTTTTTGGGGGGGGGGGAGGACCCTCTGTATTTTCCTTCAATCAGCTTTACTCAAAATCAGTGGGAGTTCCCTGCCTTTTTTGAGGTAGAAATCATTTATAAGCTTAAGTTATAAAACGGATTTAACATTTTTTTAAAAGAAGGAAAAAATAAAAATCAAAGAAAAAAAAAACCATGACAATGTTAAGCTAAATGATAGAGATCTGCCCACTTGAATAATTTCCCCATCCATTACAATAGCAATAGGACTTAGACTTATATATCACTTCATAGTGCCACACAGCCCTCTAAGCAGTTTACAAAGTCAGCATATTGCCCCAAATAATCTGGGTCCTCATTTTACCAACCTCGGAAGGATGGAAGACTGAGTGAATCTTTAGCCAAGTCTGGATCGAACTCCAGGTTGTGGGCAGAGTTAGCCTGCAACACTGCATTCTAACCACTGCGCCACGACAGCCCTTCAATACTATCATGTTAAGAGGCCTTCCAGATACCAACTGATTGTTCACCTCATCAAACACTTGACGCTTTTCATGATGTCACAAACACCTTGTTCTTAGCATCAGTCACTCAACCTCTCTCTTAGATTAGTAACTAGAATTCCATCCAATCCTACCAAACTCCTATCGGGGCATCCACATTTTTTCTTTTCGTATTTCAACCTGTATTTTGTTAAATTCTAACCATTTTACCAGCTTGCCGCCTCCTCCTCCTCCTTTTCAAATCAGGAACAAAACTTACTGCAACGGTGGTCTTCATCAGAGCCATCACCACAGTCATCTGCACCATCACACACCCACTGTTTAGAGATGCACCGGTGATTATTGCATTCAAACTTCACTGGGAAGCAGAACTTATCTGGAAAAAGAAATCAGGCATTTGTTATAACCACTTCCAAACAATTCCAAAGTTTCTCACAAAGAAGTCCATGAAATTGGAACATTCTTCCCAGATTTATTTAGTGTATGGCATATCATACATGGACTAGTGATATATATATATATATATATATATATATATTAACATTTCATCTAGATTAACAGAAGCCAATAAAATATAAATGTCTAAAGGATCCATGTTCAAATACCAATGTCTAGGTCATCTATTCTAACCACTGAAGCGCAACATTGTTTATAGTAAAAAAAAAACAAAAAAAAAAAACCAGATACTGGACCGGTATAGGCCCTCAGCTTACAACTGGTCGTGATGTGATCTACAGTTTAATGTGGGATGCAAGCAGTCACACTGATGGAGAATACTATGCCCCATTTATACAGAGAGACCTGGCAGACACCATGTGAGGTGCAAATCCTATTCAGAATAGCAACTTCTGGCAGCCAGACTACTCTGTAGATTTTCCTGGCTTTCAAAATACATGGCAAAGGAATTGAAAACAAAGCCCAGTCCTTTTTAGGCTCAAATGACTAGAGAGATCACGAATGTTATTTGAATTTTTTTCCCCAGAATTTACTGATTATTCTATTTTAAAAATAATATTATTTATGGAAAAAAAAATAACACAGTGACTTACTGCAGTGGGTTTCATCCTCTCCATTCTCACAGTCATTCTCTTTATCACAAGTCCAGGTCATGGGAATACATCTCCCACTTGGACAGGCAAAGTAGTTAGCTGGGCACTTAGTTTTTGTCGAGCCTGAGAAAGACAATGGGGGGGGGAGAGGCAGGAATAGAAAATAGAAAATGCATTATATTGTATTATGTTGGTGGGAACAGAGAAAGAGAAGCATTACACAATGATCAGAGGCTCCATGTTGGTGTTTTTCACATCTTTGTCATCAGATAAATGGATGGATGGGGCAGGCCAAGGAGAAGGGCATTTTACTTTTTGCTAGCAACCAAACAGGTTTTTTTTAAGATACATTTCTATTCAGAAGTCCCTAGAATAACTTACAAGCAATCTAAAATGTAGCAGGAAAATCCATATGAAATAAACACATTGCTAAAAATGCCCCCTAGCAATAGAAACAATCAGTGTGCTCTACTGATTCCAAAAGTTTACAATTACTTATGTCCTGTCTTTCAAGATAGCAATGTCTGAATAGTTTAAAGAGTAAGGCAAAGGTTCTTGTTGTCACTAGAAACGTTCCCCCCCTCTTCTTATGAACGTTCCCCCCCTCTTCTTATGAAAAAGGAATATAGATTACAGACTTAATAGATGGGAGTACATGTGCAGGTAGATTCAAATGGTAGTTCTTCCTTGGGGAGTGGGGGTGGACAGGGCAGACTAAGTGAAGGTTGAACGTGTGTGTGTGTGTGTGTGTGTGTGTGTGTGTGTGTGTTTTCTTCCTGGTTGTTCAAATTTTAGATCATCTTTCTCTTTCCCCAAATAGTTCTGTGGGAAAGATAAAGTGACCAAGGAAGGATTCTTCTCTAGCTTAATGGCTAAGCGTGCTAGCTTGCTTGCATATACAAGTTCTCTGAATGCTTGTTCCATTTCACCAGATTTCAAAGTCCTTCAGGATTTGGATGGTCAGAAGGCTGACTTTCATTAGAAGGTGCTTACCTGGACAATCCTGCTCATCTGAATAGTCGCCACAGTCATTACTGCCATCACATACCCAGGATGGAGCATAACACATCGATGTATGCTCACATTTCTGAAAATTGACATTTTTCACTCCCAATCTGAAAAAGCTGCTGCAGTCGGTGGCAGCTACCAAAAGAGAAGAAACAAACTGAATGTATGTAAATTCTGAGAAACTTACTGAACAGGCCTAATGGAGCAAAGGCAAATCAGGCCCCTGTGAGTTGTGTTAAAAAATGTGGAGCCACAGAATAACGCCACCTCAATTTCTAATCCTTAGCAGCATTATAATTGCAATTATTTATATCCTGTCTTTTCAGGGTACAGTTCTCCCAAAGCTGCCTATCAGAATATGCACAATTGAAAATAAAAACAAACAATATTTAAAAACAAAGAAGGGGTCGGTGGGGTGAATGGGAGAGTGACCCCTGCAGGACTGGCTTTTCAGTATCAAATAGGCAGACACATTTCCATGGTGGAAGAAATTTATCTTATCTCCATCCACAGGTGTGTGTGTCAGGTATAGTAGCAGCCAGCTGCCAGAAAAATGGGGAAACAATCTCCTTTACCCTAGTGAGCTCTTTCATCCAAAAGAGGAAGTTGCTTTTTGAGCAATGGTGAGATATTTTTCCTCTTGATATCATCATATAATGGAAAGCAGGTCATTCAATGCTAACAAAACTTCCTCAGTTACAATAGCAACAAAGTACTAGACACCTTCAGCTTGATGGGGCAGCCTATTTTTTCCTAATTATGTTAGCCCCTTTTATTGGTATACCCTAGCAATCAAATTCTGACCCACTTGTATAAAATATGGGAGTTTCTAGTGTTATGTCCAATTATGGAACTATGATTCTTAGCATAGCTGCCTAATGGACATCTCTTGCATCTTCCCTGCTTGGCGTGAGAAGAACGTTCACTACTGACTTTTCTTGAAGAGTTCAAAATCCAGATTTCCACAAGGCTTCACAGAGGATCACTCCTTCCAACTTCTCCACATCAGAGAACGCATGGCTAAACCCCTGCCAGAGTGAGGCTACCCAGACTATATTAGGGATTTTTTGGGGGGTGGGGGCTCTGGAATCCAAAAGCCCTCCTCCTGAAGGAAGAGTGGCCTTCACTAACCCAAAACAAGAAGAATGATCTACAGGTAATCCACTACTTACAACCATACAACCATTCCAACCGTTCAAAATTACAACGGCACTGGAAAAAAAAGTCACATGACCATTTTTCACACTTAAATGACCATTGCAGCACCCCCATGGTCACAGGATCAGAATTCAGACGCTTGGCAACTGACTTGTATTTATGACGGTTGCCGAGTCCCGTGGTCCCCTGATCACCTTTTGTAGCCTTCTGACAAGCAGAGTCAATGAGGGAAGCCAGATCCACTTCACAACCACCTTGCTAATTTAACAACTGCAATGATTCACTTAACAACTGTGGCAAGAAAGGTCACAAAATGGAGGCAAAACTCGCTTAACCACTTAGCAACAGAAATCTGGGGCTCAACTGTGATTGTTAAGTCGAAGACTACCTGTACGGAGTGAGTGAACTGACTGGGCAAAACCTGCCTTGGGCTATAAGATTGGGGAGGGGCTGATGAAAAAGACACGTATCAACATTTTGTGTGTCTACTGTGCAACACTCACTGCAGTTCATTTCGTCAGAAGCATCTTCACAGTCAATCTGTTGGTTGCAGCGGCTGGAATTGCTAATGCAAGTCCCATCCCGGCAGCGGAACTCAGCCGGAGAACAGCTTGTCTCTGGAAAGAATGGGCAGTCCAGTCAGGCTCATTACGGCAACTGCCTCCATTTTCTCTTCCCCTTCCTCCACAAAGAAGGCAAAAAATGGTGGGGCACTGGCAAACCCCTGGGTGACTTCCATCTTTTCCCTTTAATTTCCCGGTCGAGGGATGGCTTAGGGATGTAACAGCTGCCTATAAAACAGCGGAGTTTTCAAACACTGGATGTGGGGGATGCTGTGGAAGGCGGCTGTGTAAGCTTTAGCATTTTGAGGCAACGGGCAACAGCCGACAGACAAGCAGGTCTGCTGCAGAATTTAGGAGAGAAAAGGAGCAAAGCCTTGCAAAGACAAAGCTTATCTTTCTTAAGGAAAATGCTGGGTAACTGGACAAGCCAAACAGAAAAAGAAAAAGACTTTCTGTGTCCAGTATTTATTTGGGGCTTCAATGAATTTAGGGCTAATCTGTCACTACAAAAAAAAAAAAAAAAAAATCCATGCTCCAAAACGCCCTGGCCATATTGCATGTTTTCCCTACTCCCAGCACCTCAGCGTCATATATCTTTTTATTCTCACAGTAAGTTCCAAGGAAAATTAAGCTGAGGCAGATTGGCAAGAACAAGGAGGGCAAATAAAGAGTTAACACAGCACAGGGACTTTATTGGGGTTCAAGCTTAGCCAGCAATTTTCTATATACGTGTTTAATAACTTAATTTTTAAATGAATTACTTAATTTTACTTTAATTACTTTAATTTTACTTAATAACTTACTTTTTAAATTAATTATTGAACTGTTTCAGAAAACAATGAAGTATTACTGTACTGCTTCAGAAATGAAGTTAAGAAGCATATACAATACTTCCTGACTGGCTTCCCCTCCTAAAGCTTACTGTTGCAAGGCACTTCATCCGAGTTGTCCCCACAATCATCCACACCGTTGCACCAGTCCTTGATGGGTATACACCGTTTGTTGGCACAGTGCAAGTAGCCCTTCTTACACTTGCGGCTGTCTGCAAGGCAAACACAAGCAACAGAAAGAACAGGGAGTGTGTAGCGGAAAGACAATGGATTGGAATGTAATTTAATTATTGACTGAAGTAATCCCAAAGATGCTTTTTTTCACGAGGCCACTGGACTTTCTTGTAATTTTCTTCGAAAACGTTTCGCTTCTCATCCAAGAAGCTTCTTCAGCTCTGACTGGATGGTGGGGGAATACTCCTTGCAGACAGCTGGTCATTTGCATTCTTTTAGAGAGACACTGAGGCCATTGGGAGGTTTCTTTGTGTCATCATCAGGGTCACCCGAGTAAGGCAAACGGTTGTGGAGCTTTCTTGGAACTGTTTTGCCACTTGGATGAGAAGCAAAAGGTCTTCAAAGAAAAACAAGAAAGTCCAGTTGCCTCATGAAAAAGCATCCCTGGGACAACTATAACCTGAACGACTGAGAATTTCCACAGACATTTAGCAAGGCCTGAAGTAAGCAAAAGCTAGCAAATCCTAGGAGGTTTGGCACATCTACCTCCTCTCAGCTTGCAGGTGGATGGAAAAAAATGCAACAGGCATTCCTACTCTGGAATTCTGGAAAATTGAGCATTTTGCTGGAAAGGGGAGCTACACTGCTTTGCCTATTTGTCAACTCTCCAATGAACCTGGCTGCAGCCATCTTGCTCGTTCTAGGTTGCCACAAGATTGGGAGGGGGTGCAGAGGATTTCTGCTAGTCTAAACATTTCACTGTCCCATGGGAACCAAGGTCATTTCTGTCAGTTATGGGGGGGGGGGCATGAGCATTTGGTTAGAAAGTCCGCCAAACTATTCTATTGGGGAATGTGGCTGATTGCATAGCACTGGGGTGGAAAGTTTAACTTTGTAATAGTGTTTCTCTTTGAAGGGGATTTCAGATTTGGTTTCGTTTTTGATCATGCTGATACTATGTAACCAATAAACATGTTCTTTGAGGAAACCTTTAGCCTTGGAGTTCTGATTTATTTGGTCTCATCTGTTGGAACCTTGACACCTATATTTACAAGATGTTGCATACAGGATAGCTGTGATGCATAGAAACATGCCTCTGACTCATCTCTTTCAGTTAGGAGCTTCAGATTTTTATGACTCTGAGTTTTCCACCCAAAGAGAGAGAGAGTAGGGTTGTAGAGAGAGAGAGAAAAATGGTGTAGGGTTTCTTGCCTGAGCAGGGGGTTGGACTAGATGACCTCCAAGGTCCCTTCCAACTTTACTACTACTACTACTACTACTACTACTACTACTACTACTACTACTACTACTATTATTATTATTATTATTATTATTATTACAGAGAGAGAGTCAAGCTAAATCCCAGGTTTCAGCAGAGCCTAGGGGTGGAGAAGGATTAGGGATTCATCTTTTTTCGTTCCAACTTTTGTAACCCTTGAGTGAGTTCATTCTGTCCAGCAGATTTGGCTTCCATGCAAAGGTATGTGATAAATTTACCAAATCTTCTTTTTATAAACCCCCAAACTACAAACTTAGAGCAAAACAGAAAAATACTCCTTTTAAGCTTGAAGAGAAGAAAAGAAATATTCCAACAATTTCCCTGATAACCTGCCAAGCAATGGATACAAGATATGTGCAAAAATGATTAGTTTATCTAGAGCAGAAAAGCCGGCTGAGAGAATTCTTAGAATTGAAGTCCACTGGTCTTAAAGTTGCAAGGTTTTGAAACATTGGTCTAGAGCAGGGGTAGGCAACCTTGGCTCTTTTATGACTCGTGGACTTCAACTCCCAGAATTCTTGAGCCAGCTATGCTGGCTCAGGAATTCTGGGAGTTGAAGTCCACGAGTCATAAAAGAGCCAAGGTTGCCTACCCCTGGTCTAGAGTGTTAAAACTTCTCCACAAGCAGGCTAGCTGACGAAAGGAGAAAAAAAGAAGAATGAGAGAAAGAACCTTACTGCAGTAGGATGGCTTTTCATCTGATCTGTCTTTGCAGTGAGCCACACGATCACAGGTTTCACGGAAGTCAATGCAGTCACCATTTCCACATTCAAACTCATTATGTATATTACAGGTGGAGTTGGAAGCTAAGGAAGGGAGAACCATACAAATTTGTGAAAACACATCCATCTCTCAACTCCTGTTTCACTGAAATATGCCCTTACATCCCATTCAGAAGATATGTTTAGACTGGACATCTGGAAAGAGCATAGGTTAAGTTGGCAAATGAAAATACTCTTTGTAAGAAAGTGCAGAAAAGATCGATAGCTAAACTTCTGGGCAATAAAAGACTGGCAAAATATCAGTGCAGAAACCCTGGACACTTCATCTAACTACACGCACCTCTATTTCCCTCTATGTATGTCACATTCATCATAAGAAATCAACAGTAGCCAAGAACTTTCTTTCCAGAAATCTGATGGCTCTTTTCTCTATGCATGTCATGTTAAACTGCTTCTTGGAATCAGAATTTTGACTGAATTATTAAGATCACATACCCATCTACTTGGCTCCAAAGAATAGTCACAGAACTGCCCTCTACTCATTCTGGGATTATTGCTGTATGGTGCGTGTGCTTTAGAACAAAAGAAGGCTTATGGAATTTCCCGTTTCCCCCCCAGATTCAAAGAGGCTTTGAAGTCCAAACCCTGGATGAGTAGATCCTTTCATGCTGTGCCTGCTCAATATGAGTGTATTTCAAAGGAACTATCATCCAAATTCACCTGCTTTTATTCCATTCATGTTTCATACTTACCTCTGCAGGTAAGGTCTTCCTGAAGTGTTCTGCCACCCCGGCAAGAGCATGTGACTTCTCCACTGGCTGAGAGGAGGCACAGATCCTGGCAACCACCATTGTTTACTCTGCACAGAGACAGCTCACCTAAGTGGAAGAAAACCAGAATAAGGAGAATGAAGCCCATAAAAAATGGGGTCAGAGATATAGATTGGAACTATCTAAAAGTGATGAAAGGTTGGTTGACTGGACATTTAATGGAGTTTTCGGGTATTTTTGTTTGAAAACAACATCAACCAATACCTATTTTCAAATGTGAGTCAAGCTTTTTTTTTCTGGGAAAGACTGAAAGCTAATCATAGTTCTTTCCAACCAGGCACTTGTCTCACCATGGGTCTTCTGAATGTGACAAACCAACAGGGATAAAGCCTTAAGCTTCAGTGAGGTTTGTGATTAAGCTGAGCATCAACTATCCAAGATATGCACCACTAATGAATGATATCTCCAAGTCAGAAAATTAAAATCCCACAGAGCCACAATCAAGAGTCAGAACTGATGTAGTTCACCTGCTATTGCAGAATATGAAAAACAGAACACCAGGTTGTTTCAGACTGTATTACCCTACAGCAGGGGTAGGCAACCCAAAACACTCAAAGAGCCACTTGGACCCGTTTCCCACCAAAAACAAAACACCGGGAGCCGCAAAATCCTTTTGATATCTAAAATGAAGATAACACTGCATATATCCTTTTTTACCTTTATTATAGGTGTGTTTGTGTGTGTATATGTGTGTGTGTGTGTATATGTATGTATACACACACACACACACACACACACATATACACATACATACACATACAGGTAAAAAAAGGATATATGCAGTGTTATCTTCATGTTAGATGTCAAAAGGGTCTCTCTCTCTCTCTCTCTCTCTTTCTTCCTCCCTCTCTATCTGCCCTTGGTCTGCCTGCCACTCCTCTTCCCCCACTCTCTTTCTTTCTCTCTCTCTCTCTCTCTCTCTCTTTCCTCTCTCTCTCTCTCTCTCTCCCTCTCTCTCTCTCTCTCTTTCTCTCTCTCCTATCTGCTGCTCACCTGGCAAGCTTCAAGCTGTTGTCCAACAAGCTCAGGGTAAGCAACCTCCTCTCTTTTATGACTCATGGACTTCAACTCCCAGAATTCCTGAGCCAGCCTAGCTGGGCTAGCTAGCTCTCTCCTGCCCTTCCTGCTTCCTGCAGAGACGCAGCAAAGGGAGGAGCTCCATCCAGAAAGCTTTTCAGCTCCTCGGAGAACACTATGAGTGCAATCTTTTACACACACACACACACACACACACACACAGAGAGAGAGAGAGAGAGAGAGAGAGAGAGAGAGAGAGAGAGAGAGAGAGAGAGAGAGAGAGAGAAGGAAGCAGGGAAGCGTAATTGCCTCTCTCTGTCTCTGTCTCTCTCTACAAAGGCAGAGGAGGCTGGGAGCCACTGGGGAAGGCTCAAAGAGCCGCATGCGGCTCCGGAGCCGCAGGTTGCCGACCTGTGCCCTACAGTATATTGATCTTACCATCAGGGCATGTTTCTTTTACACAATAGAAATCAACCTATATATTTTTTTTATCTGTATACAATGCAGCAAGTAGTATAGAACTATATTTAACATTTAACAATGTTGTGATTTCTCAGTGTTCAGACTGGAGTTTTCATGCTGAGAAACAATTGCCAGCTATTGATAGAAAGGAGTAAGGGAAACATTTGAAAGGAAAGTAGTAAAAGGGGGGGGGGATGTGGTTTGCTTGCTTTATGAGGGCTGATTTTAGAGACAAAATGTTGTGCAAGGTAGACATTTGGGTAAACAGTTCAAACTCTGTATTGTGCTGTGCAAGGCCAAAGATAAGCAATGTTTGGGAAACACTCAAATGAAAATAAGCCAAACACCAAGTGAAGTTTTTCTTCAAAAAACAGATTGTGCAAAATTATCACTGCTAATGTAGGGCGAATGGATAACAAAATAAGCTGCACAGGAACATTCAGGAAGGCCTAAGAATTCTCCCCTCAGGGCCAGCAAAGGGGGGGGGGGAGGAAGAGTTGCTTCCAAATTTATTACAGCAGTGCTGATTCAAGCAACTGTAAGAATGATGAGAGAAGTGTAAGATAATCTTATGGGGAATGCCCACCCCTTCCCTAGGGCAGACTGCCATCACACCCTCCTCCCCCAAGAATAAATGGTTCCTCTTACAGCTGTTGGTGTCATTGGCCACAGCAATGATGCCCATAGGTTGCTGGGGGATATCAATACGTAGGTGTTTCATGCCAGAGCCTACATATTTGTTGGCACGCTGCACAGCACGACGCACCCAATCTGTCCAGAAGATATTGTCACCATAGACAGCCAAGCCGAAGGGGTGCACTGGCTCCGCCTTCAAGATCACCTGTTGGATTGATAAGTTGATAGTTTAGAAATTTTTATACTAGTATTTTTCACAAGATAAAATTGAAAGTTATTTAACCACAATGTATATGATTGAAAGAATGCTTACCAGAAAGTTCATACACTCTATATGTATATTTTGTTATAATGTAAAGAAAGAAACTTTTTTTCTCTTTTTTTATAAGGTAATACTAATAGTATTGTTTAAACCAGGGAAGTTGTATCTTGTCCACTGTGTCTTTTTTGTTTTTAACTATATATTCAATAATTTTTTTTTAAAAAAAGATCACTTGTTGGATATTATTATCACAGTATTAGCAGGGAAGAAGCAGGATGTCAATGGCCAAACATTATCATCATACTAGTATTAAGCACGTTGCTTCTACGCATTAATGGACAATGGCTTCTTGGCAAGCATTTTCTCTTAAATCTTCCTTTTTTTCCTTACTCGACATTCCATAAATAATAAAGAAATTGCTGCTTTCCAGAAGTAATTGAAGATGCTGGTAAAGATGGTTTTTTTTTCCTGCTCTCTCTTTCTTTTTCCTCTTACAAAAGCAATTACTTTAATTTTCATCATTTTTCTCCCATTTTCAGGATTTGTGAACACACTCTACTTTGTGAACACATTTTCCCCTTCTTCTGCAGCCTTGTAGCCCCGTACACTTTCCCCTAAATCTGCTCTACCAAATCCTCAGATTTTATCAAACAGATTTTGGAAACATGTAGGAACGTTCAGATTATTCTAGTTTTCTTATTAATGATAGAAACTATTTTTATCCATTGAAGGAAATAACTGGCTACTACCTTTATGAATAAATATAAATTAGATGTATAAATTATACTTGCAGCCAAAATGAACCTGTATAGCCCAGAAACCAAAGACACTTTGAAGCTTTTTAAAAAAACAATTTTCAGCTGCTAGACAACAATGGAAAAACGTACGATCAACAACTCCAAGAGTTGCAGTTGGAGAATTGTCTCTTTCTGAGTGAAGTATAAAATATAGTCTGGGCAAAATAATGGCTAGCCTAATACTAAAGCTGTTTGACTCCCAATTTATGTACACCTGGAGCAGTTTGCATTTTAATGTGACTTTATTCAATTAAATTTAAACGTTAACCAAAAAAAGCAATGATATTCTGAATTGTGCACATTTCTAAATTTTGCTAGTCTATTTTAAATTAAAATAAAAAAATCTATTTAAATGCTTCAGAGTATATTAGGAAAGTCATGGAGAGATGGGCTGCAATTAATGTTAGAAAAATGAGAATCTGAGAAACATTTTCCCATCCCTCCTAGTTGATACATGGTGCAGTAATTATAACACTGGATAAACACGTGACATTGCAGACCTAAGACTCTACCTCCACTCAGCTCTGAGCTCTTGGCCCAGTGACTTCTCTCTCAGTCTTATCTCCACCATGCTGTTGCTATGACAATAAATTTGAGAAAGATTAAATACACAGACTTTGGCTCTTTTTCAGGACTTGATCGAGTGATCTAAAATATTAATTCATGGAAGTAGCTATGGAAAAGAGCACCAAACATATCCCGAGGATATTATAGCAGGGAGGCCTGTTTTACAGGCTTTCTGGGGGGGGGGGGGGAAAGCACAGTTGATAGAATTATGGGACATACATATCGTTTGGAGCCATCATATTCACATCGCTCTATCTTGTCCAGGGTGGCATCAGAAAAGTAGATTTTCTCTGTCTTGTGGTCAATGGCCAGACCGTTGGGTGTGCGGATATCCTTGTCAATGATGGTGATCATGTTGGCACCTGACAGCGTAGCTCGCATGATGCTGGGGTGTTGTTCATTCCAGTTGGTCCAGAACATCAGGCTGGAGGCGAGAAGAAAACAAATTACAGAGGAAGAGTGCTACATAAGTTGAAAGAGGGAAAGCAAAGGCACTGGGCGGAAGGAGGCGGTTTTTCCTAGATCTCCAGTTGCTGGTATATTGCCTGCATCCTTATTAGAGAAGGAGGATCTGACTATGACAATATATGATGCTTACAGCAAAACTAATCTAGGCTTGACTGCTGTAATCAACTTCATATACTCTGAGCAATATTTAGAATCTGAACCCAAACTGTGACAGATACACTCATGAAGGCTGTTTGTAACAGAGATTATACTTATTTTAATTTTAAACTGCAGAATCAGCCATTAACTTATATTCACCCAGTGAACGTATATTCACTAGGCCTGGTGGCATAGTGATTAAAATGCAGTATTGCAGGCTAACTCTGTCCACAGCTGGGACTGGGCTCAAGGTTAACTCAGCCTCTCATCCTTCTGAGGTCAGTAAAATAATGAGCCAAATTGTTGGGGGCAATATGCTGATGTGGTAAACCGCACAGAGAGTCCTGCAAAGCACTATGGAGCAGTATATAAGTGCTATTGCTATTACTTTTTAAACAATGACAATGGCCTTCAAAGTTTATGGCCTGAATTGCATACAGTGGGCTAATTCAGATGTATGATTTAGTGACAGACACAGGCCTCAAATTAATGTATCCCATTCCCATACTCCTTTTAGCACAACTATAAAGGTGAAATTGTAAATATTCCCTTTGAATTTTAGCTTAGTTTATTATATTCAAACCTAAACTATGATTAATCTTAAATTATATTGGCTGAGCAAGCCACTAAGTTATAATTTGAAGATGGCTTGTTTTCAGTAATGCATAATCAAAAGTAGCCACAATTCATCTAAGTGTATGATGCTAAGCAGAAATGAAATTATTTTCTATTTCATCTGGAGACCCGGGGAGAAAGGAATGCATATGCTGAAGGATTGCTTAGATTGTTCATTGCTAAATCCAAACGTATTTCATGCCTTAAGCTTATCAAAGCAAGACTAATTCTTGCTTTTCTGTGGAGCAGAAAAGATAACCTCTCTATTAGTGACAACTTTTATTTGGAACCATCTTCCCCAAAAATGAGCCTGACTTATCCTTTCATCGGGAGTTGAATCTTTTAGAAGAAGGAGGAGGAGGAGGAGGAGGAGGAGGAGGAGGAGGAGGAGGAGGAGGAGGAGGAGGAGGAGGAGGAGGAGGAGGAGGAGATGGTTGGTTAACAATGTTGTTAAGGTGCTTATTCTTATTTGAATGGATTCAGGTCATTTTAAGGCTGTCAACTGGGAAATGAACAAGGAAATAAATGAATGAATGTATGAATGAGCTGATTCTGAAGTTTTGTTTTTCCGTCACCCAAGGGATACTGGAACTTACTTCTGACACTCATCTAGCACAAAGGCTCGGGGATGGTCATCTCCGGACATAGTGATCACAGTCTCTCTTTCAAAAGCTCCGATACGCGTCTGGTTCACAGTATGTCGTGTAATGGTGGAAGTAGTGTAGCTTGTCCAGTATAAGGTGTCCCAGCCTCGGTGATAAGCCAATCCCTCAACAGAACCAACATCTGTTAAAGGGAAAATGGGATACATTTGTTGCTTGATATGCCTGGTTCCCAATTCTCACTTCTTTATTCTCGTTCTGAGCTACTCCTTGTTATTCTCAGCCTCTTTCTTATTTTGTCCTGATATTGCCTCACAGCCAGTGTCTACAATCAAATAAGTCAACTGACCGAACAAAACAGAAGAAAAAAAGATTTAAAAAGCACTGTCTGTATTGCCTGCCACCGTGAAAGCTGCCCCATCTGATTTTAACAAATTGAGAAAAGAGACCTTTTCCATGGGCCTGTTGCTTGGTTCAAAAAACCTGATTTAGTTTTGTCCCCATCTTGAGAAGCTTCTAACTATGCCTTTCTAATTATATGCCCCTGACTCCTCAGAGAGGATTCTGATTATTTGTTGCTGCTTCTTTCTGCCTTGCATCTAAAATAAATGTGGGGTTGAAATACCATCATAGACTTACACCTGATTTCTCCCATTCTTCAAAAGTAATAGAGAAGATAAAGAAAGCTATCTTCATAAGCAATTTTCAATGAGTTTCAAAATGTGGAGCACAAAATCCTCCCAAATTTATAGCAGGATAGATTCCAGAGATTTTGGATGAAAGAGAGAAGTATGTCAAAAAAGCAGCTACAACACCCCGATAACAATTTAGAGATCTCACTACACAGATTAATAAATAAATATGTAATCTGTTCTATGCATCTTATATATTTATTTTACAAGAAAATACACAGCATTCCTGACAGATATATCAACATACTGAATATATGATATTGGTCTGGGGCTTAGTCAACCCTCAAAACAAATTCTGGCACTTTAATATGGCTTTTCTTCTGACAAATTACTTACTAAATCAACTGCCACAAACAGAACTTGCTAGCTTGCCTTTTATTGATTTACCAAATATTTTTAGCACAAATAAATTACTAATCTCATTTGAACTTTTTTTTTTTTTAAAAAAATGCAATTTAAAAATTGCCATAAATTTTTTTGTATCTCTTTGGTGTTTCTCTGGTAATTGAAAAATGCCTCAAGGAAAGGATTGTATAATTGTTGGCCTTTTCCCTGTATTATTGTAGTCAAAGGCATCATGGGGATGACACCTTCAGCATGCAGTATATGTACCTTTCTCCATATTTCACAGATGCCCTAAGTTGCGCCAACGCACCCTTTTACCAAAGTATACCCACCATAGCCCTGGTCCAGTTAACAGGCTGGTCATTGCAAAAGCACTTTGGTGCCACTTGGAGAAAATTATTGTATTTTCATGGGCAGACATCCGCATGAAAAAAAATTATGGGGCAGGAGAGGCGGAAGGCCTGCTTCTCAATTCAAGACCAAATAATACTGCAGTAATGGTCCTTCCTAATAATTGACTGACCCCCAAATCTAATTCAAGTCCCAAAAATCTTACTACCATTTCTTATAGGTAGAACCGTTCCTGTGACCCCTGTGGTCACATCACCGTTCTGTGAGCTGCACTGGCTGCTGGTTTGCTCCCAGTTACAATTCAAGGTGTTGGTTATAACCTTTAAATCTCTGCACGGCATGGGTGGAGGTTAGTTGAGGAGCCATCTCACCATGGCTCTTACCCTTTTGAAACACTTTGGCCCTTGAGGTAAGATAGGCTCCCACCCTCCTGACCTTCTGCAAGAGCCTGAAGACCTGGCTCTGCCAATTGGCTTGGGCCCCCAATGGGAGAGCACCATGCTGGAGGTGGTTGACGGATTAACAGGCAATCCCACCTCCCCCACCCCACCTTTGCATCCTGCTCCCTCCCTCCCCATCTTTTAACTATAACTTTATCTTTGCAATTCCATTTTTATCATTTTTGAAGTATTTATCCCTTATCCTTTTTAATGCCTTTGAATGCTATAAGCCTCGCTTTGAAACAAGACGGGCAGCAAATAAATCTAAGAAATAAACAAACATCAGATGGGGAACCTGTGGCCATCTAGCTGTTGCTGAAAGTGAGGTCTGGTCAGGATGGCAAAAGGTGAGAGAGGTGCTGCAGTTCCCCCATATCAAGAGATCAACTCATCTCCCATGTTTCTTTTCCCCGGACTGACTGATTAATGGAGCAGAAACAACACTTGCCCAAGTCCCTTGGCAGTTTTCCATCTAGGAATGCCTATATCTGGGCATCACAACCCTCCTCCCTCAAGTTAATACACAGAAGGAAACTAATTGGCTCATCTCCGAATGAAATGAAGCACCCTCCTGGTAAGCCCCAAGCCACTGTTTGAAAAGCAAATAAGACACGCTGGGTACGAGCTTGATTTCCTTCCTTGCCAGCAGCCAGCAATGTCTATGAGCAGAGGAGGGTTTTAAATCTCATTAAAACCATTGCCATAATTTAGACATAAAATCCAATATGCAAGAAAAGAAGGGGGATTTGTTTTGCTGGAAGCAGGACAAACTCAGGAGAGAAAAATGCAAAATTAACAGAATAAATAATAAATAGAGAAATATGAGACCATGTCTTTCTCAAGACATCCCCAAAATTTTGTTACATGCACGAGCTGCTAGAAGCAACGTTCTGTTCTGTGGCTCTAATTTTTTATACCTCAAGGAAACCTCTCAGACTTAATCTTTGGGCAGTGCTCATATTTAGCAATCCACTTGCTTGGTAGGCAGCTGGATCACTCTGTGCTTGTATCCAGTGAGATGAAGAAACACCCAAAGAATTACCCAAAGATAATTCTTGAAAGCACCTAACCACCACTTATGCCACACCCAGGAGGAGGTTCCCAAACCTTTCACCATCACATCTTTTTAGTTTTTAGAAAATCTTACACCTCATATTCCCTTACTCCCTTTTAACAAAAAAAAAAAATCAACTCATAATTCAAATTAAAAACAAACTTGACCTACATTTTTATTTTTAAGGAAACTAAGCACAAATGGCTTTGCTCTTAACAATGATTTAATGAAAATATCATTTCAGTTCCATTACTAAGCTCCATTCTTTTTCTTAATAAGGTTAAAAAGCTTTCTCTGCGGTATGAGGAAGAAAAAGGAAGAACAATGCATGCCTGGTGTTCAATTAAATTGGAAAATACTTCACCTAGAATTCCCCAAGCTTGAACTTCTGAAATTATCTTTTTCCACTTGAACTATTATTCTTGCAATATTTCTGGCTGTAGTGGGAATTGACATTACTGATTGGCCCGAGTACCAACTTATTAATTTATATTGCCAGAAATGTTTTCTGGGAAACAGCAGATGTATTAATGCGCAAGACATTAATACATGTATGGCAAAATGACCTGCAAAGTCTTGTAATTAACAAAAATGTACAAATGTCAAAGCTGTCAAATCACACATTTATCTGGAAGGATTTTAGCACCATGTTGCTTGTCTGTATATGAAGCAGTAAGCTGTGATTACTTTTTTCTTTCTTTCACCTGTTTAACAAATTCAGCCTGAGCTTAATGCTCAGGATACACTTTTTAACAGATTTGCTGAATGTTCTCTAAAGCCAGCTCTCACATCTAGTCTAACACTATACTCATAAACATATATAACTTAAAAGTGGCTTGTAAGTGGCTTGGCCTTCCTTCCCTTATTTCCCCTGACCATCTGAAAGGATAATCTGACTTGTTAGCCACACAGCAACTCAAAAAGAAATAGAGGCCTTTGGAACTTCCCAAATAAACCAAGAAGAATGGGATTCAAGATTGAGAATCTCCACAGACAAGAAAGGGAGTCACTTATCCCAGTCTCTGACATGTTCCCTTCAACATCCATTGGCTTGAATCCTTTCCAAACCACCGGTCTAGCAGTGGTAAGGGAAAGTTCTGATTACCTTGATTCCTAATTCAAATTATAGAATTTGAACTCAGAAAGATATTTATTGCTTAATTTACTCTGCTTCTCAACTGTCCCTTCTATATTCTTGTTCTGAGATACTCAACTCATTTTTTTCTAAGCTCTTTCTTATCTTTTCTGATATTGCGTTCAGGCTAGTAATCACAATTAGTCAAATCAGGTTTTGAGCGCTTTCTCCCCCCCCCCCCAGTACAATTGATCTAGGTTTGCCTAGTGCAGGGGTAGGCAACCTTGGCTCTTTTATGACTTGTGGACTTCAACTCCCAGAATTGAAGTCCATGAGTCATAAAAGAGCCAAGATTGCCTACCCCTGGCCTAGTGAGATCTTTTGCTTTAATAGGGATTCAACCCTGAAGAATAGTTCGACCAAGGCTTATTATCTACTTGGTAACCATCCTGAGGGCAAACTCCTGAAGATTCTGGAATAATAGGAATAATCCTATTACTCCAATGATAGTTTTCTAACAAGTGTAGTATGCATGCCCACAGCCGTTTTGCAGAAGATACAATTAAACAAGCAGAAGGACCAACTGAGCTTCCTTCACTTCTTTTGAGGAAATTCAATTTTTGGCATTCAACACAAATGCCAAACTGGCAAAGGATCAGCATATATTCCCGGCCACAAAAAGACACAAGCAATATGGATATAGGTATACTAATACCAGAGTACGGTGTGGCTGATTCTCATTCATGATCTATGTTCTGTGAAAGTCACTGTAATCTAGGGCTATGTTTACGAGATTCTTACAGCATGCCATTAGTAATCATTTTTCCCCAGGCAAAAGACTCTTCAGTTTGGAATATATACTCTATATAAGGGAATCAAGTGCCTAGGGTTCTCATATTTTCAAGAGAGCTTCCACTCAGATTCCATTCCTTTCCCATGTTAAACACAAGGCCCGGGGGCCGATTGCGGCCCGCAAAGTGGTTTCATGTGGCCCGCAAAGCCATCCTAGAAACAGTGAGGGAACGGCCCCCTCTGCCTTGGCCCTGGTCCAGGCCAGCCGGGAGCCAATGTACAATTTTGTGGTGGCCATCTATGCTGAAACGCACTCAGTGTTAGCTCCATAAGCCCCCCCCCCTCTCATGGCCTGAGAGGAACAGTGAGGCTCCTCCAGTGGACCATGCCTTGGCACTTGCCCTGGTCCCACTCCCTTCTGCCAGAGACCCTCAGATCTATCCTACTCTTGCCCAGGCCCCCACAGGCACCCTTGACGCGAATGATGTAGAGCTGGCCATGCCCACCCAGTAGGCCACACCCACCCTGGCCACACCTACCCGGCCCTCTGAGAGCAACCACAATGCTGATGTGGCCCTCAATGAAATTGAGTTTGACACCCCTGATATACAGAGTCTGCTCATCTTTTTACTTTTGGGTGTTGAACCTTCTAGTCATCTTTCCATGGGCCTCATCCAGAATTCCCTGGAGATCAGGCAGTTCATTCCACAATCATTTGGTCTGGAATCATGTTTGAGGAATAAAAGCCGTGTGGAAGAACCCCCTCAGACTGGGAAAGCCTTGTCCCAGGATAATGTCAAAAAGCAATTCAGAGGTCATCTTACCCAGACAAAAAGGCTCGTTCCCCTCTCCCCGACCCCGCCTTCCACTGGAATCTTAGTCATGGTCATAAAACCTGGATTTACCTTAGTACACAGCCCTAAAGTAAATATCTGTTGAGAGATGCACCTTGGGAAAATAAGAGTACATTAGATTAAACTACAGATGCATCTGTATCAAGAAGGGCTTTCAGTGCTTGGCCGTTGACTACTGCAGCTATCAGTTGTAATGTAATTGTAGAAGCATGGTATCAACCACCTAATATTCAGGTAAGGGACACTGTCAGTCTGCTGTCCTCCTATATGACAGTAACAATTTACTTCATACATTTTTTTTTACAAAACTTCAATTTTACATAAAGGTTTTCCATTTAGGCCTCATATGGACCTTTTAGCTCAGGAAGAACGTGAACTATATTGTACCCTTGTCTATACTGTACCCTTGTCTAGCATTTAAATAGGATTCTGCTTTCTCCCATAGACGATGAAGCAAATGTTATGTGCTGAAGTAATTGAAATTAATAGGGCCATAGATACAAAACTATAAGTGTTCACTTAAAAACTTGTAACATACGTATTAATAGCTTTAGGAGGAACTAATTAATATTAAACAGGGAAAATGGGAATTAGGAGCAAGTTTTCACGTTCATAATTATGTTAACATTTTTATAATAATTTCATTATAAAAATTACATCTTACAATTCAGATCTTTGCTATGGTTGTAAATGCTGCTGAAGAGCTTACTCTTCCACCTCTATCTTATCTGTTGAAAAGTTATGGGAAACTAAAAAATTTGCACATATTGTATGACTTTGATCCTAATACTGATTTCAGAATGTTTGTTATAGATCACAATTACATTATCGCCATCATCATTTTTTCAAATCATATATAATTAAATAAAGATGCATACTAGAAACTAATTCTTGGTTGTTGCGTTTTCTCTGCATATTATATTCTAATTTGCCTCTTTGATTACATATGAAAGAGAGTTACTTCATAATATCTCCCTTACTTCTACAGCAATTGACTTCATGGTATTTGGAAAGGCAAAGAGAAGAACAGAACAAAAAAGGCATGTTTGATGAACATGAATGGAAATCTCTTCTGTTCAAATGCAGGAAGTTGGGAACCAGGGTATTGTCTGAACGTTGAAAAGCTTTTCCTTGCAAAAGAGCAATAAGTTATCTTATTGTCATTTCAGTGTCTACTCTAAAGATGAAACCAGACGTCACAAATGAAAGAAGCAGGATAGGACAGGTATTCTTCCTGTCTCTTTCTCTGCTCCAGCCAATGGTTTGAGAACAAAGGAGAACGTAATATTGCATGATAACATCGTATCATACATTGTATTTATAAGAAATGTCATCTGGAGGAGATGTGGAATGCAGATACCGTAATTCTACGTCTCTTGCAGTGCCTAAATATTCCTGGAGACAAGTAAGTATCGCTATACCGTTTAATTCTTTTCCCCGATGGAAAATTATTTGGCAACTCTTAGTCAAGAGCAGTCTGATTTTTAGCAGCTGTCAAAAAGCCCCCAAAGTATAGGCATGCTTTCTTCTCTCCAAGCAGACAAAACATCAAAAGAAATAGGAGGCTTCACCGCTCACCTCCTCCTCCAGGTAATATTTGTTCTCTGGGGAGAAAAGCAACAAGCCCCAAACACTTTGGAAGAAGGTCACATTTTATTCACACATTCCATTGTTTTTGAAATTGTTGCAATGGTTTCTATGGTGACAGACACTGCGCATTTTTAGTAGAGAATGCATAAGGAATTTTTGCATATTGGGAAAGAAATCAGAATGTAATCCACATAATGAGTTAAGGAATGTGTATACCTTCTCTCCAACTTTTAGGTCAAAGTATCTAAATCTGCGTATTATCCACTAATTTAATTCAGATGAGAATAAGATCAGAACTGTTGTCAGAAGGGCAGAATTAAAGAAAGTTTTAATTCAATAGAGTAGCCTGCAGCCCATTGTTAGTGATAAACACAAGAGGAAGAAGAGGAAGTTATTTTGAGACAAATTACAGATGTCTACTTCATCTCAATATATGGATTATTTTTGCGCATTTTGAACAAATCATTAAAACCGATCTGCTAGGATGATGATACAAATGCAGCCAAAACAAGCTGTGGCCAGGTTTTTGCCTCATGAAATGTCCCTGACGGTGGAGTGATGTAATCCATTTCCAGTTGTGCCCTATGGTCTTCATGAACAACACACTACATTCCAGAAGTATTGATAAACCATTCTAGATAGGCTGTGCTTTAGCACAGAACAAAACTGGGAATATATTTGTTTAGGCCGTAACAAAACCTGCCATAATCCTGGGGTGATTTTATAAGACAGCTAAGGCAAGGCTGATGAGAGTTGCCATTTCCCTTTCTCCTAAACAGCTGCCAGGAGCATATTTCACTGGCCCACTAACCTGTTCTTTTTAGCCCTTTCTTTCCTTCCCCTAAACTACACCATTGCTGGTATCCCAAAGATGCATATCCCACTGGCTGAACTCCCAAATTTTCCCTGACCTGCTGTTTTCCTGGCTTTTCCTGTTCCTCCTTTACCCCCAAAACCTGAATCTCATTATGGTCTTTATCCAAAGCAAAACAGCTATGTTTCATGGTGAATCTACACCAAGCATACATATTTGGTTTGGACATTAATTATCTGAGATCAGTTGTTCCATATATGGACCCACTTCATTCATCCTACGCTCTTCCTATGGCTGAACTGCAGCAGCTTCCTTCCCCCTTCCCCTCCTTCCGTTAGTGAATTGATCTGCAGGCGCAACAATCTCGGTGAAGTTTAAACAGTCAAAAATGGACATAAGCTGGACAAAAATTCCATCAGTCAGTAGGAAAGTTGCACAATTATATCCTCAGATACACCTATTTCAGGAAACATTCCAACTACTGAAAGAAAATCCAGTGAACTAGCCTTTATAAATTCTCCTGAATGCAGAGACTTACAATAGTCATTTAATACCTTGGACTTTTGGCTTTTAACAAAGATGGGCTGTTTCAATATCGCAGCACTAGAAATATGACGCTCCCTTATCCTGTAGATCCCTCAACCCACAGAAAAATAATCTTCCCCTGTAATTGCTGTTCTGGCACATTTAGTTCTAGAGTTTGCCTCAAATCAGATTGCTGCTTTTGTGGAAGCAGCCAGAAAATAAAGGGTGGGAGGGAACACCCAAAGTAACTTACTTTCAACTAGAGTTCTTCGCCCAGTTCCATCATCATTGATTTGCTGGATATTGCCAAAATGAATGTCACTGTAGAATATGCGGTTGCTGCCCTTGCTGCCGTGGCGGTAATCAAAGGCCAAGGCGATGACGTTTTTCATGTGCTCACTGTCTTCAAATGGCTTAATGGGTGCGTTGAGATTGTTCTCATCGGATAAGTGGATACTTTTGAGAATGGTCCGTTCTGAATAGAGCAGGTACCCATCGTAGTCACGGCAGCTTACGCCGTCCTCAGCGAGCATTCCATGGGCACAGGCACATGTCCGCTGACCTGCTCCTCGATACAGACACAATTGCTGACAGTCACCATTATTCTGCGCGCACACATTGGTACCTGTAGAAAAGGAACATAAGAAAAATTAGCTAGGATCAGGGTTAGTGTACAGCCCGTTTCTATGTCTCTGGAGGCTTTTTAACTCGGGTAACTGACTCCACCCTCATTGCTCATAGTACCACTCAATCCCTCATAGTACCACTCATAGGCTTTTTCACCTACCCTTTTGCCTGTCTCTGTTGAACACCTTGATGTCCTTCAGCTGTACTCCTATTCCTGTGCGTAGAGACACAATTTCTGTTGCGTTGTCCTTGCTGCCCCTTTTAATGGAACCATTTGCGTGAGTCCTAGAAGGGGGCAAAGTTAAAGATGCAATTATGAGATATTCTACTATGCCAGCATAGCTCTTATACAGCAAAATACAATGAGGAAACTATTGTTTATAACACTCTGACACAAAATCTTCAGTTCATATACATGATTCAACAGGCATGCATACTGATATATATTAATTTTCTTACACACAGATATTATGGATAATCCATCCATACTTCACCTCAATTAGCAGATCTAATTGACACAAACACATGCATATCCATAAAACTCAGCATATTTTCCCTTCAAAAGACTGAATAGGTTTGCATGGAAGAGGGTTGAGAAAGATGTAACAATCTAAATCCGTAATGAAGTTAGCTCTGTCTGAACACGAATGAAATGTAGTTGCTTGCAAAACACTTCCAGACATGACAAACAACACTGAGATACAAACCTGTCACTCCAGTAGACATAATCCTCAAAGACAGATACCGAGAACATATCCATGTTGTTACTGGATAGGACAACCTCCCTCTTATCGCCAGTCTCTAGGTCTATGCGTTCAATCTTATCTGTCCGAGCATCACACCAGTAAAGTTTCCCATCCTAAAAAGAGATCCAGATGACAATCCATCTTGTAAATTATAAAACACAACTGAGGATACCAGAGTGAATGTAAAATGCAGGCAATCAGTTCCCAACCATGTATAATTTCCCCTATTCTCAGCTCGAATCATACCCCAGCAAGTAAATAAATGGGCATATAAACTGCTGTTACTCCAGTGGAAGAGGGATTGTTTAAAGCCATGAAAGGTCAGAAGTTGAGACAGAACTGAGAAGGACTCCCAGCTGAGCAAGTGACATTGCTGGGTTCCTTTTCTTAACACAAACAAATGCGTTGCACAAAACTGGATTTTGCTGGATTGCATAATTCAGGCTTATCACGCGTACGAATTTTAACTTACCATGACGCTGAATTATGTTTCTGCGTTAAAGCACATAATCCTATTTATTTGCTGTTATTCTAAGGGTGCAACGGGGCAAGGCATTCCTAAGATGCTAAATGTGCCACTCAACATTCATTTTTCAACTATGATTTTTGGTTGGACAGACAGGAATCATTGTGTCTAATGCCCACAGCCTCAGGATCTTACTTCATAATCGACAGAAATCCCATTGGGCCAGCTGATGCTGCTGTTGATGAGGACCACACGCTCTGTTCCATCCAGCCGAGAACGTTCAATACGAGGGTACTGGCCCCACTCTGTCCAAAAAAGGTATCTGAAAAAGCGGACACAAGACAGTGCCAGGACAGTTAACAAATCACATGTTCAGCCAAAGTTGCCACTGGATTGTAATTTTTAATGATAGGAAAAAAAATAAAGGAATAAAACAAAAAGTTAACCCATGCAAAATCTAGGAATAGCCTTTTCCAATTGGATGGCCTTTAAAGGATTGGGATTACTATTCCCGGAACTGGGAGTCTTGCCTTTCCCCATTTCCAATCCATCATTGTTCCAATGCCTCAAATACTCCCAACCTGTTCCCATTATGACCAGTCTAAGAAATTGCACTCAATGAAAAGGAATCTTACCCTTTCTCTGGGTGTACTGTAATGGCACGTGGCTTATCCAATCCCTGTGAAATCACTACATAGCGGAATGAACCGTTGAGCCTGGCGACTTCAATGACATCAAAGCCCTGGTCTGTCCAATAAATGTTTCCTGGAGGGAAAGAGATACAAGGTTAGGACTTAATTGATTGCTCCTTCCTTGTTTCCTGTGAGAAGGAGGGTTTCCTTCCCACACTCAGTTGCTGTTGCTTGCTCATCTACGCAGCGCAGCCACACCTGCAATCCAGTCCACAGCAATCCCTTCCACTCGGCCAATGCCATTGGTCACGACATCCTCTCTCCAGGTCTGGTCCCGTTTGGCTCGACTGATTGTGCTCATACCCATGTCCACCCAATAGATAGTGTCATTATCTGAAGGAGAGAAAAATACACATGGGAGGTTGAAAGAGGGGGTTTGGAGTGATGCTATGTACCTGATAATCACCCAAATCAGTTCCTGGGTTCCCCAAACCCACTTCTTTTCAGCAGCTGACAGTAATTCAAATTAGTAAAAGCAGAATAGCAGGTTTAGTGGACCTTTAACACATTTAGCCACAAAGACCATAAACAAATCATCTTGCACTTTACTTGATAAATAATTTTTACTTTGTTATAGAGTTCTTCATAAGTATAGTTGTTTCAAGGCTAAGATTTTGTCTGCATCAAAAAACATATCTCTCGAAATAATTCTTTTTTTTTTTTGGCATACATTTACCACTTTATTAAAATGCACTGATCCCTTTCATTCACTATGTGTTCTGCCCTTAATTCAGGTGAATGAAGCACAGAGTTTGGGCACATCTGTTTTTGACATTACTTTGTAAGAGCAAACTGAGTCTGGATAGTGATTCAGAATAGATTCTGTAAGGACCCACCCCACTTTGCATCTTAAGAAGACAGAACTCTTGGAATAGCTCTTCCAACAGGAATCCTTTATTAAGAGAAAATGGTTGCAGGCATGCTAGACAGGACTTGGGGTTCAAGCTCTTCCATTCAAGGTTTTAAGGGGTTCCCCAGTAGTCCCACCCAATCAACCCCCCTTCCAGTGATAGTTTCAAGTATCACAATTCCATCCCCTTTCTTCTTCCGTCTGGATGGAGACTTCAGATAACTACATGAAAGGCAATTACTCTTCTTTGATATGTTAACGCTTAGAGGCCACAATAAACACACATTCAGTCCTTTGAAGTGTGCTGAAGGAAGTGAGGGCCATAAAGCCCCTTTGCTCTCCCCCTTTTCTCCCTCTTATGGCAGAATCCAGAGAAGGCAGAATTGGGAGTTTCTATGTTTGATAATTAAAGATGAATATAATTGGATTCTGACATCCGGCCCCTCTTAACAATAAGAGAGATCCACCTGAAAGAAAACACAAGTAAAAAATTTAGTTAGGCTTGTTAGGATACTCTGTGTGAAACTTCTTCAATAGCTTCGGGGCTCTGACGTGACGTTTATGGACCCACTCATTTTGTGAGGCAGGGAGGTGTTTCCAGGCAACTAGGTACTGAGTTGTTCCACGATATCTCCTAGAGTCAAGGATCTCTTTTATTTCGAAGTGTTGTTCCCCCTCCACCATGATTGGAGGTGGTGGTGGGGGGATTTTTGGCCGTAGAGGTGACTGATGCTCTCTTTTCCGCAAGCTGCAATGAAAAATTGGGTGTATTTGCCTGAGATTTTTGGGTAATTCTAATTCTACTGTTACTGGATTTATGATTCTTTTAATTGGAAAAGGTCCTAGATATTTTGGTCCAAGTTTTTTACAGGGCTGTAGGGACTTTAGGTATTTTGTAGATAAGTACACCATTTCTCCTATAATGAATGGTGTAGGCTCAACCCTTTTTTTATCGGCTTGTGCTTTGTATGCCCGCCTAGCTTCATCTAGTGATTTTCTGACTATTGGCCAGGTGTTTTGTAGGTTTTCCATCAATTCTTTCAGTGAATGGATCGTTGGTCCTCTTGGGGTAACTCTGGAAGGGTTGAAACTTTGGCCGTTGGCTATTTGAAAAGGAGTGTAGCCTGTGCTGGAGTGGACTGCATTATTGTAGGCAACTTCTGCAAAAGGAAGTAAGTCCGTCCAATCACTCTGTTGGAAATTTAAAAAACATCTCAAAAATTGCTCAAGTACCGACTGGCAGCGTTCCGCTTGTCCATCTGTCTGAGGGTGATGGCTAGATGTCAGTCCCTGAGTGGTCCCTAAGAGGGATAAAAATTCCTTCCAAAATGTAGAAGTAAATTGCACTCCCCTATCAGAGATGATGCGTTGGGGTGCCCCGTGCAATCTGTAAATGTGCTGGATAAAAAGTTTTGCTAAGGCCTTTGCAGTGGGAATTTTTTGGCAAGGGATAAAGTGCACCTGTTTAGGAAAATAGGTCCTGACGTCCAGATAACAGTATTCCTCGCGTTTCAGGCAATCACTTATTAAATCCGCTATTTCCCAGGGGGGAGGGACTTGCCATGGTGGAAAAGCCCTGGGCGATTTCCCTTGCACACATCTTGCTGATGCACGGTGGGCAGGCTGGCAACATAAACTCTATGTCCTTTTTTATTGATGGCCAACAAAATTGCCGTTTAATTAAGTGTAAAGTTTTTACAAATCCAAAATGCCCTGCTGATTTTGTGTCATGGCAAAGGTGCATGAAAGTTAGTCTTTGAGTTGTTGGTATATATAACTTTTCCCCTACCCAAGGCAACCCGTCTCTCATTGTGCACCCATGTTTGTTTTTCTGGAACCAGTCATCTGTTTCCAAACTTTTTCTGAATTCAATCCCAGTTTGGCTGTCCAGTTGTGGTTTTATTTTGGCTTGGGTTCTTGTGGTTACTGGCGCTGCCAGTTGTGATTCTGACATTATTGGTCTAGAGTCTGTGGTTCGTGCGCTGTTATATTGGGGCATGAGAGATAGTGCATCTGCCAGGAAGTTCTTTCTTCCTGGTCAATGTTTGAGCTTAAATTGGAATTGGTGAAAATGCTGGGACCAGCGGGCTTGTTTGGGATTGAGTTTCCTGGAAGTTTTCAGGGCTTCTAAATTTTTGTGATCAGTCCATACCTGGAAGGGGATTTTGTTGACTTCCAGGAACTGTAGCCACGTGAGTAATGCCCAACGTATCCCATAAGCCTCCTTCTCCCATACGGGCCAGCGCTGTTCTGTTTCCGTGAGTTTCTTGGATGTATATGCACAGGGTTGCAATACTGAATCATCATTTTCTTGTAATAGCACAGCCCCCACTGCCACATCACTTGCATCTGCCTGTATTATGAAGGGCTTGTCCATATCTGGGTGCCTTAGTACTGGTTGGGCAGAAAAAAGTCTCTTTAGTCTCTCAAACGCTGCTTGGCACTCCATTGTCCATGTTAGTGGCTGGCTAGGTTTTACTGAGGATGTTCCCTGCGTTTTTAGTAAGTTAGTGAGGGGCAAGGCTATCTGTGCAAATGAGGGGATGAATTGGCGGTAAAAATTTGCAAAGCCCAGGAAACTTCGTAGTTGCTTTCTTGTGCGGGGTGGTGCCCATTCTAATACTGCTCTGACCTTCTCTGGGTCCATTTCAATGCCCTGTGGGGATATGCGATAGCCTAGGTAGTCTATCTTTTCCTGGTGGAATTCGCATTTTGAGAGTTTGGCATATAGGTGAGCGGCTCGCAGCTTCTTTAAAACCGCTCTGACAAGTTTGACGTGTTCTTCTTTTGTTTCGGTAAAGATAAGAATGTAGTCCAAGTAAACAAGGACCCCCTTAAACAGGTGCTCCCTTAGAACGTCATTGATTAATTGCATAAAGACTGCAGGGCCCCTTGTAATCCAAATGGCAAGACTTTGAATTGATAGCACCCCATGGGGCAGTTAAATGCAGTCTTCCATTCGTCCCCTTCCTTGATTCTCACTCGATAGTAAGCTTCCCTTAAGTCTAGTGTAGAAAAAATTTTCCCTTTCGATAGGTGTGACAGCATGTCTTTCATGAGGGGCAGCGGGTATAGGTTGCTTTCACTGATTGTGTTCAGGGCCCTATAATCCACGCATAAACGTAAGGAGCCATCCTTCTTCTCTCTAAAAAGGACCGGGGCAGCCACTTTAGGCTTAGCTGGTTCAATGAAACCTCTCTCCAGGTTTTTTTTTATAAATCTTTCCATTTCCTCCTTCTCCTTTGGGCTCATGGAGTATAATCTGGGCTTCGGGAGTTTTGCCCCAGGCTTGAATTCAATGGTACAGTCTGTGGGTCGATGGGGGGGAAGCTCATTCGCCTTCTCCTCACTGAAGACTTCAGCAAGGTCCCTATATTCTCTGGTATTTTTTGTTAATCTTTTTTACTTCCTTTTTTAAAATGGATGCTTTTTCCTATCTGATTCTGGTAGCCTCTCTTGGGGTTTTAAGTCCATAGGGTTTCCCCCTTCGGGAATTTGATCTTCTGTTCGTCATCCATTGTACACAGGGGTTCCATTTTCAAAATTCCATCCCTAGGATCATTGGGCATTCCATGCCTGGGGTCACCACAAACATTATGTCCTCCTCATTTTTTCCCAGGGAGAGGTGTATTGGTAGAGTGGCTGGGGTAGCTGGCACACCCCCTGCTATGGATCCATCTAACTGGCCAAATGAGATTGGTTGTTCCAGTCTCCTCGATGGGATGCCCAGATTACCCACTAGTGTTGGGCTAATGAGGCAGCGGGTGCAGCCAGAGTCTATTAAGGCTTTCACCTTCACAGCTTCAGGCATGGGGGGGATTACTATAGTCACTGTCTTGAGGATGGGTGTGATGCATCCACTTACCAGGGTTAGTCCTTCCGAGCTGTCATTCTGAGGCATCACCGTCCCTGTGGGTAGCTGGAAGTCCTTTCCCTTTGGTGAGCAGAGGTGGTGGTTTCTGCAATTTCCATCATTCTCATGGCCGTTTCTTTTGGCTTAGCTGAATACTTTCCGGGGTTGTTGATTGGGGATCTGTCTGGGTTGTGCTGGGGGGCCTTTGAGCGGCATTCTACAGCTCGATGCCCTTCTCTTCCGCACTTGAAACATCTCATTTGCTTCTTGGCTGTATCCGATGATTTCACCGGTTGGTGTGTCAGCTCAGGCGGGGGCGGCTCCATTGTTTTCCTCGGCGGTGCCTCTTCAATATGTCGATCTCTGCTTCCTCTGCCAAGACGTACCATTCCTCAAGTCGATGTGGGTCCCCTCGGGGCAGGCAAGGCATCATATAGGATCAGTTTAGTCGTCTTTGAAACGGCCAAAGGAGGCATGTCTCTGGCCAATTCAGTTTGCTGGCAATGGCTCGGAATTCTTGTGGATATCAGCCACCTGGGCGTTCTGCCCTGCTCATCGTTGTTATTCTTTCACGGGCTTTGCGATCAGCCAGGGGGTCTTCAAATCGGTTTCTCAAAGAGGACATGTAAACGGTGAAG